GTTGAGACAATAGGCGATGCATACATGGTTGCATCAGGTTTGCCTAAACGCAACGGGGACCGGCACGCAGTGGACATCGCCCACATGGCCCTGGACATGCTGGCATTTGTCGGGACGTTTGAGTTGCAGCACCTGCCCGGCATCCCTCTGTGGATCCGTATCGGTGTGCATTCAGGTAATTTATCTATTTCTCATTTCCACCCACACATTCCCCAATGTTTCTTTACCTTTTTAAAAATGTAAGTGGGTTTATGTTACCCTTGGCCTTTTTGTTTATGTCTACGATGCTGTCGACTGGCAGCTTTAGACTATTCTCAGGAATTGTCAATGTAATACCCAGCTTTTTTTCTTTTTTTTCCTCTTGTATGCCATGTAAAGGTTTCGAGTACCTACTTACTGAATACTGTGTATGTCTTTGCTTTATTGTAACTAAAAGAAAAATTCAAAATAAAATGTTTAAAAAATAAATAAATAAATGTAAATGCGCAGTTATATACAAAGATCTAACACATCTTTCAGAAATCATAGATTATGTGTCAAAAGTAACAGTTATAGTATATGTTAGAGTAATAAAAACAGCATGTGGCAATAACACACTTGTACACTGCCAACTATTTACTAAAGTCCAAACCAGAAGTAAGCTCATAACTTTATATTTCAATTTGCATTTATTTTGCAAACTTACTGACATCTAGTGGTTGAACAGTATAAGTGATTAGCCAAAGATAAATCCGACACCATCTGTCACAGTTTGGTTACATTTTACCACTGATACTGATGCTTGTTTGTGTGTTTTGTGTGTAGGACCGTGTGCAGCAGGAGTGGTGGGGAACAAGATGCCACGCTATTGTCTTTTCGGAGATACAGTTAACACAGCCTCACGCATGGAGTCCACAGGCCTGCGTAAGAATCAAAACACACACACACACACACACACACACACACTCACACACTCACTCACTCACTCACTCACTCACTCACTCACTCACTCACTCACTCACTCACACCCTTTTCTTCGTGGTATTGTGGAAGGACCCCGCACTGTGACTGTGCTAACAAGATGCGAGCCCCACAACGTGATAAAGACAAACCCCTACACACACGCATTTTAACAGTCACATTATGGTTGGTTTATGACCGTAAGAGATCTGAGCGTTTGACTCTCATGATTCTTCTTCTTTCCAGCTCTGAGAATCCATTCCAGCCAGTCCACCATCAACATCCTGCAGAGGACAGACTGTAATTTTGAGTATGAACAAAGAGGCGAGACGTACCTGAAGGTTAGCCGGGTTTGCTTTTACTCTAAATGAATCCAGTTGTTTGTATCCAGTGTAAACTGTAAATATATTGTGTGCTACTCTTATTTCCTGTGTCAATATGTGACTGGCCTACAGGGTAAAGGCAAAGAGATGACATACTGGTTAACAGGAGTGACCGGGGGAAAATACAACCTGCCAACACCGCCAACAGCGTGAGTAAAATGCTGTCTAATCTATATGTAAACGCTGACACTTAATTATCTACTAATACGGAAAGATACACACTTTGCCCCCAAAGCCCCGATATTTCCTTCCAGCTCACTGTTGATATAAACAGCTAGATAACAACACTAAGTTTAATAGCAATGTTGGGACTTAATGGAACTGTAACAGAAGTATCAGGGATACAAACATTAATTCAAACAATTCATTTGTATTCAAAGGGTGCAGTTTTCCCAATTAATCTGGTATCTTCCCAAATGAAGAATCAATTACAAATGTTTAACTAGAGCTGAACACAAATGTATTTAATTTGGTTAATCATTAATATCATTATTATTTTCTAAATGGTTTTTACTAATTCTCTAATGTTTTATTATTGTTGTGGTGTTTTTTTATTTTATTTATGTCACATATTTTAGCATTTATTGTCTTATTAATGTCTTATTTCCATGCCTGTTTGCTCTGGCTTAATTGTGTTGCATTTGAAAAAAGAATCCGTAGCACACTTTGACCTCTTATATAAAAGGTGCTCAATAAATACACGATAATAATGATACTGTAATAATTATTAACCTACACAAACAAGTCATAAATTAGGGGTGGTTAATAATCACATGAATATAAATTGTTGATTAAGATAATAATACTTTTAAAATAATAATAATAATTAAATAATAATAAATATGAGTCAGATTTGTTATTGTTATTAATGATTATTATCAATATAAATATTTATATTATATAAATACAAAAATCATATTAATGGGATTATTACTCTACCCAATTTATGACTTTCTGTAGTCAAGCAGAAATTCTTAAAAAACTTGATTTTGGACAATTTGCTTATTTCTTTTCATTTTCTCAAAGATTCAAAGGTTTTATCATCATATGCACAAAGCTACAGTGTATAAATGGCAATGAAATTCTTCTGACCTGAGCTCCTCCAACAATGCAACATATATAATAAAATTAAAAAAAATTAAAAAGTAGTGCAAAAAGTCACTATACATTTGCATCTAAAATAAAAAATAATCTTTACTTTGTGCATCAGGGAGAACTTCCAGCGGCTGCAGCAGGACCTGGCGGAGATGATCGTGTCCAGTTTGGATAACCGTGGCCTTGGGAACGAGGGCTTCAAGAACAGGAATACCCTCTCCACCAAAATCAAACGGAGGGAAACCAACGGCAGCCTGCAGGGGAACGGCCTGCCAGAGTACTTCCACCTGGCCGTCACCGACAACCCGAGCACCTACCTGTGAGGAGAGGAGCTCTCCGTACAAAAACGGTCAAGAAACAGGCTTTGTAGAAAAGTCTGAATGAGCACTGCTGGGTTTCTTTGAGTGACAGTCAAGCAGCGGTGAAAAAATCAGGCGTGTTGAAAGGTAGACTCTTATATGTTGATGATACAAGTGCCTATACTATAGTTCTCTCTTTCCCCCCTCTCCTATATAAGATACCTGTTTATTTAGTCCCTTGTATTATTGTTATATATCATGAAAGATGTTTAGTTGTGGTGAAAGAAGTGCTATACATAAGCCACCCTTCTCTTTTTGTATGTGGGTCAGACAAAGTTTCACAAATGTAAGAGAATATTAATGTAGCTATGTGCATTGGGAGCTTCAAAGTCTGACATTTTAGCAGAAATAATGGCTATAAATTGTACCTGGAACTGTTTTGGGTGTATTTTGCGTATTAAATGTTTTTAAAATAAAAATAGGATGGGCTTATACCGTTTTGTTATATCTATCACACAACCATTGCCTTCTCCTTTTATATTATATACTATTATAAAACATATGGTAAGGAATCCATATAATGATATTGCATGTATTCTTCTTGACTTGACTTTATGAACAGCTGTCCGTTAATGTTTAGATGTCACCTGAAGGAAGCTCATTGATTGAGAAAGTTGGACTAAATTATTTACCATGTACATTTTCTTTTCTGCTGCAAAGACAGTGAAACTATATCCGAACAGTGCTTGTTATAATAAAGCAGACATCTGAGAATATTTATCTTTCACACCAAAACATCTAGAACATCAGAAATATATATTCTGTAATGATTTTGGTTTGTGTTTTATTAAATGATGTATGAAATATGACATGATATTCAGAGCACTTTTTTTGGTTTGTCTATTTAAAACACTTCACAAGAAAGTACACAGAACTGTAAACAGTCTTAAATGGAATTGCACAGAGGCAGAGAAGTAAATAAAAAGCAGTAGAAAAAGTATAAAAAAACATAAAAACATGGTGTAAAAGAAAGATAAATCCACAAATTGGATACAATGAGGGAAAACTCACCAGTATATACAATTAAAGGGGACCTATCATGCAAAATGCACTTTTGTACGTCTTTTATACATGAATATGTGTCCCCGGTGTTCCAGGGAACTCACCAAGTCAGAAAACACAACCCTCTCTATTTTCCTCCATACCCAAATCTCTAAAAAAGGGGCTGCAACGGATCTGATAAAAACTGATCCAGATTTGAACACTGTCCTGACGTTAGGACAGTGGCGCTACGGCTATTGGGCCAACTCCACCAATCAGGAGGAGACAGCCACGGCCATTGCCGTTCGAAAGCGCTGGAGACGCTGTAGTACATATGCCAGGCCTGTAAGTGGCGCTGTAGTCTGCCACAAAAGCAGCGAAGAAGACTTCCCGCCCATAGTTACCATGGTTACCCTTCTGTTTATTCTCCGCTGTGGCTTTCTTTCTCCCTCCCCGAGGCAAGCGTTTGCTCCCGCTGCAATGCAATCCCTCCCTGTCGAGGCAAGCACTGTAATTCTCTCCGGTTAGTCCACCAGCAGATGACAAACACCCACCTCTCCGCCTCTTCCAAGGAACGAGGGGACCGTGCGGCAGAGTTTCAGTTTCAGTTTGTTTCGCCGGTCAAGATGTCCGTTAAAGTTTAAATCTTCCGGACAAAATTAGAAAAGTGCCGGTCAAAGGTCTTCTTTGTTATTTATTGAGCTTTAAAACAAATGAATAACGACTCTATATAATAAAACACGAGGACGGAGATCTCTTTTTCTCCCCCTCTTCTGACAGCCCAGCAGCTGATCAGAGCACGGCTCACCTCTCCTGCAGGGGGGCGTGGTCAGCAGAATCAGACCCGTAGACAGCAAAAAGCACATAGAGTGAAATGAGGCATGGCTAAAATGCATGATCTGTTTGGTATTTTGAAAACAGAAACGTATAAATATACCTTATATAGGTATGGCCCTACAATATATCATTTAAATATAGCATGATAGGTCCACTTTAAGAAACACACACGCACGCACGTGCGTGTGCACACACACACACACACACACACACACACAATATTCTGGAGAACAAAAAGATTTTTTTGAAGATTTTTTTTAAACTCTTAAGAAAACCCTTAAATGTACTAGATTTTTTAAGGCTTATATTAAAGGCTTTCTCAATGCCAGTGTGTATCTCTTTGATTGAGTAACACACACACACACACACACACACACACACACACACACACACACACACACACACACACACACACACACACACACACGGGCTACTTAAAATACAATTAAGTAATTTGCATTGGTCTGACTGTTATATATTGCATGACGCCATTCCACACACACACACACACACACACACACACACACACACACACACACACACACACACACACACACACACACACACACACACACACACACACACACCCTACATAGTTTTGGTTGTAACTAGCGCTGTGCCACCCAGCTCTGTGGCAGGAAGTGGGACCCTGTGCTCCCTCAGCATGTTGGGCCCCTCTGGCCAGGCGTGCTCTGAGGGGCCACTGCAGAAAGTGAAGCCCTCTTGTTCCGACCTGCAGCCTGTTCGGGCCCCCGGGTGCTGGTGAGGACAGGGAGAAGGGGTCCATGCTGCTCTCTGAAACATCTCTGGAGGCGGAGGGTGGATCTCGGCGAGGGGCTCTGTTTTCTGAAGAGGCTGTTGAGGTGCTGCTTCCTCTGCAACAGAATAAACAACTGGATATTAGATGGTCACTGATATACAGCAGAAAGCCTACACATCTTCCGGTGCAGACTGAAAACTCATCTCTTTCGACTCCACTTCGAGCGATAGAATTACTAACAAAGAATTGCTAACAAAGCACTTACATACTAACAAAGGACTGGCTTATCTAAAGCCAGTTGAGTAGCACTTGAAATGTTTCGGCTCTATGAAACCTGATGTACTTATATGATTCTGTTTTCTTCAAGTTTGTATCTTCTTGGTCGAATGCACTTATTGTAAGTCGCTTTGGATAAAAGCGTCAGCTAAATGCAATGTAATGTAATGGCTCAGTCAGTAGGGGCTTGGACTGTGAGCCGTATGGGTCGCTGGTTCAAGTCCCCGACCAGACCTAAATATGGAGTGTAGACTGTTACTTGGAGAGGTCCCAGTTCACCTCCTGCCCTGCCGTGGTGCCCTTGAGCAAGGCACCGGACATCCCCGCTGGTTTCATGTGTTTCACAACAACTTATATTGCAACTGAATACCTCCACTATGCTTATCAAGTTTTTTACATTCCTGGTTGTCCTGTGGATAAAGGTCTATTGTTGACAATTTATTGAATGAGAAAAAAAGCCACGCTATTGATAAAAGGACACTAGTCTCCTCAATAATCTGATTTGTTTCTGAGTCAAGACTGCAGGAGCCGCATTCCAGACAATTATAAATGACGGTCACGTTGGCATATTTATCATATTAATGAGAAAAGCTCAAGTATTTCAGCATGATCTAGGCCTTCCTCTGCACAAGGAAAGAAACGGCTGTATATAATGGCAGGGTGATCCCATGACCGTTAGGGTTATTTCAAAGCCAAGAATTTTAAACAGCATGTTATACAAACTTAAAGCTCAGCAGATTTCAAATATCTGGCTTTATCGATACAAAAATGTATGTCTTTCTGTCCACCAAGCCCCTCCTAAAGATAAAGCCGTTACACGATGGAGTGCAAGCTGTTAGTGGTTCTCTGTGGTTCTCTTTCAGGATGTGTGTTGAAACCAGAATAGCTGACCCATGGGACGCGGAGAAGAAGAGAACAGAAACTGTGGAGTTTCTACTGTAATGAGCGTCACACTTCATCACCTTTCCTTCTGCGACCCCATTTCCTCCACACGACTCTCAGTTGCACACTCTGCATGTCAGACCCCGTGCTTACAGTCACATGGTGTGTCTCTACTGGGACATGTCTCCATGCTCTAATGTTCAAAAAGCTCTTTATTGTTCTCATACTGCCTGTGCTGCAGCACCTCTTTTCACCCTCTGTCTGAAACCAGAGCCCAGTCTGCTCCGATTGGTTAGCTGGCCGGCTCTGTTGTGATTGATCAACCGCTTAGAGATGTACCCCCTCTTAGCCTATCACGTAAAATGGGTTGGAGCGCTAGCCAATAGAAGCGCGAGTGTTGCATAGTGATGTCATTATGTCTCAGAAGTAGACAAGGGAGTCCAATGGAGGTGATTCAGCCAAAGTTTGTGGGAGAGAAACTCACTCTGGAGGGAACTTTGGTATTTCAGCCTTTGCAGATCTTTCATATGCACAAAAACCTTTATAACACACTACAGGAAAGGGAGAACCCCAAAAAGCACAATAAGGCTGCTATCTATCTATCTATCCATCTATCTATCTATCTATCTATCTATCTATCTATTTATCTATCTATCTATCTATCTATCTATCTATCTATCTATCTATCTATCTATCTATCTATCTATCTATCTATCTATCTATCTATCTGTCGATCTATCTATATATCTATAGCAGCTGCTACCTAGTAAGATGCTAAAATGTTGATATTGACACTGATATTTTCAAAAATAAAACCACAGATACAGTAGCTGCTTTTGAACTGTCAATTCTTCAATATGTATCTTATTTCAAACATTTTCAAGCTTTCTGTTTTCCAAAGACTTTTCAATAAACTCCAGAAATGTGTTCTGGGAAATGTTGACTTTTATATGAAGAACTCAAAAACCACCAGACTAAGGGACAGCTTCATCCCACAGACCATTAGATTGTTAGTCACCTGAACTTTTGAAAGGCAAGGCAAGGCAAGGCAAGTTTATTTATATAGCACCTTTCAACACAAGGCAATTCAAAGTGCTTTACAAAAATGAAAGATATTAAGAAAATGGCATTTAAAAACAGTCATTAAAAAGCAAAGATAATAAAATAAACATTAAAAGAAAAAATACATGGATAAAAGTTACAGTGCAGTTTAAGATGTGAATAGTTTAATTAAAAGCAGCGACAAAAAGAAAAGTCTTCAGCCTGGATTTAAAAGTAGTAAGAGTTGCAGCGGACCAGCAGGTTTCTGGTAGTTTGTTCCAGATATCTGGAGCATAATAACTGAATGCTGCTTCTCCGTGTTTAGTTCTGACTCTGGGGACAGAAAGCTGACCAGTCCCAGAAGACCTGAGAGTTCTGGATGGTTCATAATTTAGCAGGAGATCAGAAATGTATTTTGGGCCTAAACCATTCAAAGCTTTATAAACCAGCAGCAGTATTTTTTAAATCAATTCTTTGACACACAGGAAGCCAGTGTAAAGACTTCAGAACTGGAGTGATGTGATCCACTTTCTTAGTGTTAGTGAGGACTCGAGCAGCAGCGTTCTGAATCAGCTGCAGCTTTCTAGTAGAAAGAACATCCATAACATCTGTTTGCAACTCATATATCAATATTCCAATTACTGTATATAGACTATTCTGCACTATTTCTATTCTATTCTATTCTATGTACCTGCACTATTATCTGTTTTATTGTGTTGCACTGTTGGAGGAGCCTGTGACCTAAGATTGGCATTGTCATAACTACACTGTAGCTATGCACACATGACAATAAAGCCTTGAAACTGAAACTTGAAACTAAAGAACATCATATTGATCCTCGATGCCACAGTTGTCTTTACCTGAGGTGCCGCTGTGCCTGGTCTGGCGTCTGTAAATGATAAACCAGAGAGTGACTGCCAGGATGGAGCCCAGTGTGGCCAGAACCACCACGATCCACAGGGCCGGACCCAGCAGCACCAGTGGGGGGGCCCGGGCAGCGGGGGCCGTGGCTCTCAGCTGCACCACCACAGCCAGGGCAGGCTCTGAGGGGGACAGGTTCATTAGATAGAATAGAATTGGAGGATGAAGCCCTCTTTATTGGTCACACATGTCCATGCACACAGCACACACAGTGACATGTGTTCTCTGCTTTTTACCCATCCTAGTACTAGGAGCAGTGACTTATTTATAGTTCATTAATAACTACCTTAACAAAATTCACATTCCCAATGAAGCATTTAAAACCAGAAAAGGTCAACACTGATGTCATATAACGTTATAATCTAAGGCGTTATCTAGCAACACTCATTGCAGAGCCCTGATTGAACACATCTATTCAATTGCAAGAAAAAATACAAGTCAACATCAGAAAGTAACCAGAACAATCTTGCACTAATGTCCCAAAGATATTGAAGTGACTGTTATTTTGTATATATTGATTGTTGTGCTTTTATTTATGTCTTCATGTGTGCGTATGCATAAATGTGTCTGTTGATTGTGTATATATAGGATATACATATTTGTATACATATTTTTATATATCTGTATTTTTTGTATACGGGATTGTGGGAAACGGTATTTCGATCTCTCTGTCTGTACACACAAACTGAAAGATTGACAATAAAGTTGACTTTGACTTTGAAGATGTCAAGTCCTACTAAGGCCAACACCACGACTAACTCAAAGAGGTTTTGAGACAAAACCTAACAAAACAACTCCGCTCGGAAGATAGGTTTGAGTTCGACATGATATATCTCTTTAGTGAAACTCACCTGTTGTTAGTCCAGGTTCAGGTCTGGTTTCCGTCTTGTCACTGACACACGTGTCCACGAGCCTATCCCACGTTTTGCCAGCAGGACAGTCTTTCTTGACCATGGCTGAAGAAGCAATGTGGAGACCTGCTGCTGTCTCCCTGATCGTATATGGTTTAAGACACAAACTAAAAGGAAGAAAACGTGTCGCTGAAGACAGAAAACCGTGAGACACAGAGGAGGGCTGCGAGGGGGGGGAATAATGAAACTAATGCAGAGTGCCTAACAGACGTTTCAGTTCCTCCATCTCAAAGGAAAGGGTGACTCACTGCATGCGTCCCCGGGGGGCAAAGAGAAAGAGACAGAACGCACCGTTTCTGTTAAAAAACAATGAGGTCTCGACCTCTAAGTTCCTTAGTTTTGATTAAATATTGCAGTCATCTACGAGCATTTTACTGTTTGTCTACATGGTTAATTGGCAACGATATTGATTCATTCAACTATTTGAGTTGTTAAGATACTTTAGCTTTCACCTTCATCAGCTCTAATATAATGTTAGTTTATTTCATTTTAATTATCACCCCTTAAAACATTTAGTTATTATATGAATTGAAATTCTTTTACAAATCATTATATTTTTTGATTATTTTTATTGGAAAGTTATTTAATAACACATTTTAGTCTATTTATGATTTTTTGTATTAATCTAAAAATGTTTAAATTTCAAATGCCGTTTGATTTATTTATTTTATTTATTTACATGGATATGGATGAACTATGTAAATAAATAACAAGTATATTTTTTAACTTTTGTGACTGCTGATCAGGTTTAATTACTGTTTGAGTGACAGAAAATAATACATATGATGCCACAGGCTTCTAAAACATAAAACCTCTCTTTCATGTAATGCATGCGTTTTCATGAACTACACATTAATATTTGTGGCTCTAAATTATATTACAGCTGTTGAGCTTTGCAACACTCTCCTTAAAGTGGACCTATCATGCTATATTTGAATAATATATTGTAGGGCCATACCTATATAAGGTATATTTATACGTTTTCTTTTTCAAAAAACAGATCATGCATTTTAGCCATGCCTCATTTCGCTCTATTTAGCTTTCCTCCACCCTGTCTTTGCATGCGCTGCAGCTGACCACGCCCCCCTGCAAAGGAGGGGGCCGAGTTACGAGCGTCGTGTTACCATGCTGTTACCATGCCACGGCAACCTCTCATTCCCCTGATAGGTCAGCTCAGCCGTCCTGACGTCAGACGTCAAATCTGGATCAGTTTTTATCAGATCCGTTGCAGCCCCTTTTTTAGAGATTTGGGTATGGAGGAAAATAGAGAGGGTTGTGTTTTCTGACACTTGGTGAGTTCCCTGGAACACCGGGGACACATATTCATGTATAAAAGACGTACAAAAGTGCATTTAGCATGATAGGTCACCTTTAACTTCTTGTTATTGACAGCAGCAATACAAAGTCAAACCAAGAGTCACTGTTACACAAGTCAAGTAAGGAGACAGGACTGTGCTGTAAAACTTTAATAAACAATTAGCACATCAAATGTTGGCATGAAACAGATTTGCAGTGTTACACATCAAAATCAAAAAGAGAAACCTGAGGATTTTCATTTTGCACACGAAAAACTGCTCATAAATCACAGCACTAGAGCAGATCACCAGCCCTGAGGATTACATCGAGTGATTCATTTACCATAGTAACGATAGTGTTGGCACATAACAGACATTTAAGCATTTCAAAAAAGGGTTACAGATAACCACTGATTTAGTGCATTGATTTAGCCATTTATAAAATCAATCAAGTAACTCACAGTGGTTAAGGCACAAATGGCTGCAGGTACCAAAATAATATAAATACTGATTATAAATCTGGTGTGAAGTTTGAGATTTCATCAGTTGGAAGGAAATGACTGTTACTAAGAAAATGCAAATCCTTATAAAGAAAGCATTTGTCTGCCGGACGCAATTCTGACTCTCACAATGAATTACTCTGAAAGCATCAGACAGACTGCAATTCAATCTCACACACACACACACACACACACACACACACACACACACACACACACACACACACACACACACACACACACACACACACACACACACACACACACACACACACACACACACACACACACACACACACACACACACACACACACACACACACACACACACACACACACACACACACACACACACACACACACACACACACACACACACACACACACACACACACACACACACACACACACACACACACACACACACACACACACACACACACACACACACACACACACACACACACACACACACACACACACACACACACACACACACACACACTAGAGATGGCAAATCCGGATCCTTTTACGGACTCAGGAGTCAGTCATTGAAGAGATCCGGATCATACGAGTCATTTGAGTCATATGAGTCAGCATCACCAAGACCGTAGAAATCCTATCGGTGAAACCGAAAACGTGTTGCATTTCACGAGCATATTAAACTGACGCTATATTAACCTCCGCTACACAGTGTATTTTGCTTTAATAAAAAATGTTGATCACAAAAAAAAGGGTTATTTTGCAAATCTGAGTCTGCTGTTGACTCGTGCATGAGGACGAGTCTGCTGGATCTCTAGATCTGCTGCTATATGGTTACGGCTCTGAGTCCGCACGAGTCTGCTCTGCTGTGTTTTGCACAGTGAGTCAGGATTTGCGAATCTGAGTCTGCTGTTGACTCGTGCATGACGACGAGTCTGTTGGATCTCTGGATCTGCTGCTATACGGTTACGGCTCTGAGTCCGCACGAGTCTGCTGTATTTTGCACAGTGAGTCAGGATTTGCGAATCTGCGAGTCTGCTGTTGACTCGTGCATAATATAGCCGCGGGAGCCGGGTGCTGGAGGAGGGGCTATGCTCGTGCACATGACGAGTATGAATCTGTGGATCTGCTATGCTATTACGGTTAGGAGCCGTCGGCTCCTCTGAGTCCCCACGAGTCTGCAGGAAGTTTCACTGATCCGCGTCCCCTCCCCTGAGCCAAACGATAACTTCTGGCAGGCAGCTATCCTACTTGCTAAAGGGTAGGCAGATGGACTGGGGTACGTTGTAATGTGATTTTACATTTTATAAAGAGAGTAGCGAGTGACGCAATTTATAGTTTTAATTTGTACGTCACACCAAGTGTGGGACTCAAAGGACTCGGGTTAATGGAGAGGGGAGACTCGTCACGACCAGCTCATTTCTAGGATCCGGGTTAATGATCCGGATGAATCAGGACTCGCCCATCTCTAACACACACACACACACACACACACCCACACCTCATGGCTTGAAGATAAGAGGCCGCATCCTGACGAAGGTGAAGTTGTAGAACTGCGGCAGACCCTGGTGGCTCATGCTGCTGAATTTATCCCATTCAAACGGCGGGAGTCCGTCCTGTGTCGTCGGCCCGTTCACCGCCTCCGCAGCAAACTCTCCAGCCATGTGGAAATCTGTCACCTGGACCAACAACAACACAGAGATCAGAGAGAATCTGAGATAAAAGACATTTGGTCTCTATAGAGTGGTGCAGAAATGAGTCCTAAAACCGGAAATTAGTTAGCATTTTTCCACTTTTGGTTCCTTTGTCTCCAAGTCAATATTTGTTTTAACGTGTTATTGGTTAGAGTCCTGAAATAAGGTCTGAGGTTAACCGAAGCTTAGGAGGTTTAAACGTTTTGTTGTACAAAATAAAATATATCAGTAAATACCACACTGGTGACTGAAGAAGATGGACCTTTATTAATCCCCCGAGGGAGAAATTCAGTTTCCACTCTGTCGTACACACACATGTGTTTTTATACTGGTCATATAGTACACACAGTACACACTTTTTAGAACATGCACATACATTTACAAATACACACACGGTTATATACACACATGCACATGCAGTTGAGAGGTTAGAGCGGAGGCAGCCAGTCTAGCTGGCGCCAGTGAGCAGTTGGGGGTTAGGTGCCTTGCTCAAGGGCACTTCGGCAGTGGCCCAGGAGGTGAACTAGCCCCTCTCCAGTACCAGTCCACACTCCGTATTTTTTTGGTCCGATCGGGGACGTGAACCGGCAACCCTTCGGTCCAAAGTCCAATCCCCTACAGACTGAACCACTCCCGCCCTGTCTGAAGCTTCTATGTGTCTTTAAAACAGGGGTTGCCAGCAAGTGACAAAATGAAATACTACACGTCATAATGCCGACCTTTAGCTTGTAAATATCATAAACATGTATTTGCCCCATGTCTTATTTTCTGCACAAAAAAAATCCCATTTCTTCTTGGCGAGGGAGCCCTTGCAATGCTACCTACAAGGTCGGCCTACAAAATGCGTCATCAGTGTCATGTGAGATCAGTGTGGGGACGGGCGCTACCTTAGTGTCGTAGCATCCTCCTGGTGAAGGTTTGTCTGCCCTCAGGTCGCCACGGCAGCAGATGGTCTTGCATGGATCCCCCTTAGAGTATGGATCCTTCTTGTAGTCTGCAAACGAGCAAAAAATAGTAAGAACATTAAATGTGCTCAATATGGAATTTCGAGCAGAAGTGTTGCCTCCACATGGTTAAATATCCTGTAGTAGTTAGACAGCAAAGAATGAACGGAAGAAATTGAATAACAAGAAGAGAAATAAGATCTGAATAGTGAATCTTATGCTACTGAATTAGCTTTCACACAGTTACAGATGCACCTTGCTAACCAAGCTAGGTAGGTAGAGCTAGCATGACTCCGTATCCGACAGGCCTCGCTTCTGTCAAATCAACAAACCTGTCCGCATTTGATCACTTAAGGATACATTTTTTAAAGAAACAGGTGACGTAACGGTGACAACGTCCCCTTATTATATACATATAATGGTCATAACCAAACAAACTGATCCACACACCATTAGACCTCATGATGTGCTTCAAGGAGTCCATGTCTTTAACATCAGCCTGGTCACGGCGGAAGATCTTGGCTCTTGGACAGAGATCGTACGAGAAGTCTTCTCCGTACTCCTCCCACATCTCTCCATACCCACTCATCTTGTAGATCTTCTGGTGGAAAGGAACGTTGTAGGAGGGCCAGTAACCTGTGGAAAATGGAGGCAAAGAGAAAGAGAAAGTCTTAAAAATGTAAAAAAAAACTACAGAAGAAAACAGGGGAAAAAGATCTGATGTTACCTCTGCGCAAAGCCTGTGATTGGTCAGAATACTCCACCAGCCCGGGGATCTGCTCCACCACCGTCAGAGCTCCGTCTTCAACACTGTGGCCCAGCTTCACCTTGCTCCTGTCCAACACCATGTACTGGTTGTTGTAGGTACCTAAGCAAGCAGATACAGATACATCTTGTGTTTTATTCCATGCATGCTAGTAGTGGCGAATGTAGCCTTTAGCCCAGGGCTACTCAAATTGCTTTTGCAGGTTGCTGTTACTGCCTTTAGTGCTTTATACCCATTAGGACTCACCAGAGTTGTACATGGAGAAGGTTTTGGCCCACTCCTCTCCGGTATGTGCCAAACTGTGAGCCAGCCTGACCCTCTGCCATGCAAACAGGCTGTTAGGAGTGATCGAGTCAAACAGGGAGGAGTTAAAGACATTGTTGGTGGTCTGGGTCATCATCAGACCACTGCCCAGGAGGTAGAAGTCATCGAGAGACACAAGGAAACCTGGAGAGAAAGATAACCTTTTCTGACAATCTGGAAAACTTTGATTGCAAATCGATGCGATGTCACCAATGTTATCTTTGAGGAATTCTTGTTATGGTGAATTCCTACGTACCAGGGTAGCTGCTGAAGGACAGTTTCCCAGTGGCTGTGTGGGGCTCAGTGATGTGGAAATCCCAGTGTTTGTAGATCCGCATTGTGGCAGCGTAAGTGTACCAGCTGGAGTGGGCAAACAGGAGATTCTCAAAGCCAGGCAACATCTGAAGGGTGCAAACAGCAAACAGTGAAGTGGAGTAAGACTCAACAGTCGATATGGTATTCCTGTGTCAGCACTGACTGGTATTTGTGTCAATGTGGATCACATGACTCAGCACCTCAGGGTTATACTTCATGCTAAGATACAGTTTAGGATGAGAGGTAAACAAGTCTTTTAGCTCTTTTGCAACATGGACCCTTTTGTTATGTTTCCAAAGAAACCCACAATATCTTTTACTTATGTGTTTTAGTGCCAACTATGCTGTAGCTCTTGTGCTCATAACAACAAAACCTTTGCATCTTTGAATATCAGGCTACATTACAAGGGTAAAAAAAACATAGAAGACACATTTTTCTATTTAAAGGGCCCATGTCATGCTTTTCCGGTTATTACCCGTCCCCTTGTGTGTTATGAAGGTTTTTATGCATGTAAACGGTGTGCAGAGTCACAAACCCTCAAAGTACACCCTGTAGCGAGTAAAACTCTAACACAGAAAATACCTCCCCAAAACGCCTCGTTGGAGATACGTCATTGTCCATTTGATTCTTCCATTTCGTTCCGGGTACGGCATGATGTCATGCCGTACCCGGAACGAAATGGACCAATCCGTGGAGCCGTTACGTTACGTCCGCGGAGCCGTTACGTTAAGCCCCCGCTGATTGGTCCAAATTGACCAATCTACGGACTTCCTCACACACAGGCAGCTCAGCTGATTTCTCCTCCCTGGCTGCAGGCTGATAACAGACAGTTGGGATCGCGGCAAAATTCTCTCTGCAGACCCATTCTCACAGCGTTTATCAACCTTTTTCTTACTCAATATCAAGCCACACTTATTGTTTTTAATCCGGCTGTGAGTTTGTGTGTGCTCAGGATGAGTTTGGCTGTGTTTGGCTGTGTATCGCTAACAAGGAAACAACACCTCAACGGAGCTCAGCGCGATTCACAACGTCCCGACCAATCAGAGCACACTGTGCTCACAGGGAGGGTGGGGGCTGGAGCTATTGGAGCTACAACGAGCCGTTAAAGGCAGAGAGTGAAATTCAGTGAATACACGTAGTTTACAGAGATGCTGTATGAGAAACCAATGTGAGTTTGGAAAATTGCACAATATAAATCTATTTTAGTATACCTCAACAATGAAATTATGATCAGTGGAAATGGCCATGACATGGGCCCTTTAAAGTTTGACATACAGCATGAACGTCCTTTTGGATTCAACTTGTGTTATTTTATATTGTATTTATTGCCTGTACAGCACTTTGGTCAACTGAGGTTGTTTTAATTGTGCTATATAAATAAATAAAGATTGAGATTGAGATTGCAAAAGCTGGTACATAATGTATTTGCTAGTGCTCAACAATATTTTGTACACAGGAGCTTTGATGAAAACACCTTATGCACCATTCTATTAATGTGTGCTTGACTCTTTCGTCTACTCTTTGATTTACATAAGCCTAATGTAGAGTATGTAACAGGCATGATATGTGTTGCCCTTTGACCTTGATGAGAGCAGAGCAGTGTCCCATCCCTGGGAGTTTGTAGTTTCTGAGCGGAGGGTTGGAGGAGCGGTGCAGAGCTGGGATCAGATCCAGGAGGTCCCCCACCGCATTCAGGAACTGGATCGCAAACAGGGACAGCGGCTATGGGAACAACCAGATAAACAGATGCTGGTCAGCAAAGGGAAATGACTAGTAGTGCTGCTTCCATAGTAAGAAGCCACCCACACAATATTATATAACTTACAAAACAACTGTTCATAGCTTAAATCACTGAATTCAGGAGATTTTCATTCCATATCTGCACTTCCTAAGCTGCGTTTTTAAGTTTATGCGTCATCAAAAATATATAATTTAACTTAAATTGTTGCTTAACACAATAAAACAATAGTATGTGAGGTGTAGATGCAATAAAGACAATGTTTTAAATTGTTATCCAGCAATATTGTCAGTTTCATTGATAGTAACAAGACACTTTTGGCACCAACAGTAGTATCATTTGTTGGATTATAACTAACTTTTGGAAAATATGCATCTTCTTTTGATCTACAGAGCAAACATAAGACCTATAATCTCATGTCTCTTTACATTTATAGAGTGAAACAAACTGTGATAAATGCAGGGTTCTTACACCTTTTCCAAAGTCAAGTTCAAGCACTTTTCAAGCATTTTCAAGATGCATTTTCAAGCATTTTACAGCTGTTGTAAATTACATATTTATACACACATACTTATACTCAAATGATTATTTCCCTACCTCACATTAAATCAGATGTTCTTTATGCTATACAACTTGGACAACCAAGGACTGTTGACCTCTGGGTGAGTGCTGCTTCCTACCTTCACTGGACTAACAATGGCTAATCCCAAACTGTACTGCTTTTTCCTTGCGTTATTCGCCACCTCCCTACCCCCGTCCTGCGCATAACAAATGCGAACCGCCACTACTATCATGTGTGATTATGAGGTCTCTACACAAGATGATTACGTTACATCCCACTGTCAATGTGCCCACAAAACAAACTAGGCATTGTGACTCACTGCTATCTCTTGGCCGTGCTCTGATTGTATTACTACTGATGATATCGGGCAATGTGCATGTTCATCCTGGACCTTCTATTGTATGTAGCCCTAGTTCTGACCTGTGCCCTGATGTCAATCTTTGTCACAATGATCTGAGTTTCCCGCCAAAAATTGACCAGATCAAAGTACTCGTTCACAGCTCAAATCCGGAGGTACTTGTCATCAGGCCGGAGCGGAGCTGTTTTATGTAAAAGCGAAGCAATTAAGCGCGCTCCGACTTCTTTATTTTCTTTTAATCTAAAAAGCGAAGTAAAGCATTTACAATTTCAAGCACTTTATCCCAAATTCAAGCACCATTCCCAAAATTCAAGCACTTTTCAAACCTTGAAAACACCTCATAAAATTTCAAGCATTTTCAAGGATTTCCAGCACCCGTCCGAACCCTGTAAATTAGTCACAAGTTTGGTGTGAATTGGAGGTTCCTCATTTTAAATAAGAACTTGGCAGAGCCCTATTTAAAGCTTTAAAACATTATAAGTATCTTAAAGCGGAAGATAAACTTCATATTCATACATTCATGGAGACTGCTTTGTTAGGGAACTTCTATGTGTTATGTATATACTTCAACCCTGATGTTTCCTATTGGTTTATACATTTTATGCACTTTGTTTCACTCTTGTTGTGGCATATTTTTGACGTGAAGAATAGTTTGCTTCTATACATGTAAAAGAGCCGGTTTACAAAAGAGTTTCAATAAGATAATGTTATAATTATGTGGCTTTTATACCTTTTTCCCTTGTTTCTTGGCCCATTCTGCGACTCCTGCTTGCAGTCCATCCATCTGAGCCACGATGAAGCCGGCGTGTCTCCACAGAGGATCAGAGCTCTTGTTCAGTTTCACCTGCTCTCTGGTCCACGAGTCCTGCTTCCTACACGCCCAACAGCAACATTTGCAATCAACTGTTGTCATTGCTCATTAGAATTATTTAATGCCAAACACTCATCGTCAAAGACTCTGAAGACGTGAAGTCCAACATGTAAATAAACTGGAATCATACTATGAATGAAATAATATCCCTTTGGTTCATATTTTAAACACTGCAACTTAAAAGGTTTCAGCTAAATAATGTTCTGTTTTCCCTCTTCCTAACCAATAATGCTTACCATATAAATACACTCTGGACAAGAGAAGCCAAATGCCGTAAGAGAAATAGTAAAAAAAAGTTGTGTAGGCCTACTTATATTATTCGAAATGTTTCCCAACGATTTACAAACCAGAAGTCATCGTACGTCTGCATTTTAGGTTATCAGGAGAAAAAGCAAATGCTAGCCAGAAGCTGACTCAAATGGACGTTTTATCCAGTGTTCAAGCCACACTTTCACCATGCACGATTAGTTTTGCAATAAATATCTAACTAAATGAAGGACTTTAGTCATCGGGTGTCTGAACTTTAGGATATCAGAGTAATAAACAGAGCAAACGTTTGCCTTTAGCCCATAGCCACTCAGGGTCACACAGATACCGGTTTTAATCACCAGGTCTGTTTATTTTGGCGAGGAGACCTCAAAGGACAATTAATCTCCTTGAAACAGTTACAAACTCCCATCAAATGCTACACCACCAAACTCTGGCATTTGTTGTTGTTTTTATTAAGAAGGGTGGCAGAAATGAAAATGTTGTCAGTTAAAATGTCTGGCCACTGAAAAGAGGATATGATAAAAGTGAACGTATGTTTTGCTGCTGCTGTGGTTTTGATTTTTTAAAAGGAAAAGAGAACAAACTCACGACATGAAACTCTGAACTGGCTCGAGGATCTTTGGGTCGTGGATCAGCTGCGGATACATGTTGGTGTAGTGGTCCATCATCTGCCTGGGGAGGAAGAAAATGCATATAAAATAAATGAAATCAAAATAACAAAAACTGTAAACGCCTTAAACCCTGCATCTTATCTGTAAATGTGACCTGTCACCACTTTTTCTATCCTTTTTTAATATGTTTTTACAACCTTGTATCACATATTACATTACATGTCACTTGTTAGATGCTTTTATCCAAAGCGACTTACATACTCAATACTGTGGCCAATCCCCACAGGAGCAATTTGAGGTGAAGTGTCTTGCGCAGGGACACAACGACATGCTGATTGCAGTGGGGTTTGAACCTGTGACCACCTGATCCGAAAACCAACACACAACCCACTGCACCACACATGCTGGATTAATAGCTGTTTCAGTGGCATTAAAATACGTTGTAGATTGAAAGGTCTCTATTTGGAGAATGTTGTGTCAAATTATCATATAATCATTTAAAACATATAGTCTTATACTCTGGTTGCCTTTTACACTGTTAAATTGTATTTTTAGTCTTGTATGTGTTTAACAGAGACATATGTTGAGGATTTACATTTCTGGAGGGCAAAAGGAAGTGTAAAAGGGGGATATGCAAATGGTTAAGTTTATGGTGTAATGGTGGGGATGTTTAGATGATGCCTAAGGGACTTCAAGTGTGGGACCAGTTGGCTTTTCTCTCCTATATAGTGAGACTGTAAGCTGTGTTCGGGGTGCAGAACTTCTCTATCCTCTGAGGAGGAAGTAGCTCTGTTCCTACATTTGGGATCGATTTCACTTGTATATTGACTTTCTTTATTACTTTATTAAATATAACAAAAGACACACTTTGTCCATGATGAATCATTTATCAGTTTCTCTTAAGCATTTCCTCCAAAGAGAGCAACAAGACAGCACATAGAGACTCACTGGGCCGTCAGGTAGCCCTCCAGGTAGCCGGCCAGGAAGAAGGTCACCTCATCGGTTTCAGGGGTCTTCCCGTACCCGGCACGGATCTCCAGGATGCTCCAGCCTGAGGTGGACAGGGTGTCATTCAGATACCCGTACGCACCCCCCCCGGTCTCCAGCACCCCCTCCTTCAGCAGGACCAGCTTGTGTTCGGGGTCCCAGTACACCGTGGCTGCTGTCATCTCTGAGAATAAATCACACAACATTAGCACTGAGAAGCAGAGGTGGGAAGTAGTGGAGTACAAATACTTCGTTACTGTACTTAAGTACATTGTTCTGGTATCAGTAGTTTACTCCACTACTTATTTTTCTGACGACTTTTTACTTTGACTTCTTACATTTTCCAAACAGGCTGGTTCCTTTAGTTTGAATGTGTGTTTGGATTCATCATTATTATTTAGAGTCATTGCGTGCCTATTGATTTGAACACGATCCGTGTATCCATAATTTCCTGGTCTTCTCTAAAGAAGAGGGACCAATGAAAACTTTGTCATGTTGCCGTTGTTCAGCATGGAAACATTCATTAGCTAACAATGACAATATTGTTCTATTAATATAAAGGGAGGTCAGGTACTCTTTAAAACAGCTGGTAGTTATGGGTACTTTTCGAAGCCCATACTTCTTTACTTGTACTTGAGTAAAGAAGTTTAGTCAGTACTTCTACTTTTACCAGAGTATTTTTAAACCCGAGTATCTATGCTGTACTTCTACTTGAGTAAAGGATGTGTGTACTTGTGCCATCTCTGCTGAGGAGACAACAAAATGTCTACACAACAGTCATGTAAGCTGAAAAAGACAATACTGTTGAAGATGAGGTCCTATGTTGAGTACATCTGACAATTGACTAATATTGATATTTCTTTTTTGGGTTGTGCTGGCCTATATTACTTGTATGATAGTATATTGGTGCATCAACACTGTGTATTGCTTTTTCTACAAAGGGGTCACAAGACTACATGTCACATTCACTTAAAATATCCTCCCCATGCATGTCTGAATTTCTTCTTCTTTGTGTTCTTGTGTACTAATTAATACGATTAATGAATTAAACGAAAATGAAAGTTAAAGCTTAAACATTTCAGTGGCAGAAGCCTTGTAAATCTGGCGATTACCCTGTAAACTGTGTGTAAGAATAGGTAAGAAAAACAAATTCAACTCAAGTGGTCACACCATAAGTCACAACAGTTGACAGAAAGCGCGAGCACAATGTATACAAAGGTCCATGCTTGCTTACAGGTAACCACTATCTGTTGAAGTTAACCCATTAAATCCTGAGATTACTACCCGAGATTTCACATAAACACGGACTACTTACTGTCAGCAGAGGCGATGGTCGAAGCCACGGTAAACAAAAGAAACACATACAGTCGGTTTACTGACGGCATGGCTGTGGAAACACCGTCAGAAAGTTGAATTGACTGCAGATTGGAGACGCTGATCTTCCTGAAGTTGTTCAGGCAAAAAGGAAATCAGTCTTACTGTATGGCGGAGGGAGGGAAAGTCCAAAGCAACCTGAGTGAGTGAGTGTTGAGCGAAACCTTTCCTGATTGGCTGCATGCCGGAGAAAACGGGAACTACATTACATGTGTGCCCTTTGAGAGGTAGGAGAGGTTTAAGTAACATTGAGTTTGCAAGAAGAGGGCAATTTATAGTCAGCTTACAGTAATTTAGTGTTTATGTGTTTTAGGGCTCATTTGGAAATCAAAAACGGTTCACCCCAGATGGGACTCGAACCCACAATCCCTGGCTTAGGAGGCCAGTGCCTTATCCATTAGGCCACTGGGGCTACGCGGCATATCAAATACGTCATAGAGCTATTTATAGATTCATATAAAGGACTCAGGCCTTTTTTACTGATGGTATAAAAAGACCGTTAAGTTATTTGGAGCTTTATTTTGTAGGTTTAAGGCCATTTATATCAACTTGTAAAATATATGATGTTGAGTTCAGGGATCTGTGCAGGAGAACACTTACTCAGGACAGTGTTTTATGATGTGATTCTGCCCTCTATGGAGGACGGAACATGACATAAGTATAAATTAATACATTCATAAATAAATGTATGATTAAATACAGAAATAAATACGGAAATAATTATTCTTACTTGTTCACTACTATTTGGTCATTTGGGAAATGTATAACCAAAATGATCTGTAAATACTTTATACTTAATTTCATGTTGCTATTTTTTATTCTTGTTGTTATTTATGAAAAACTGGTATTTGTTCTACTATCCTCTGGGGTGTTTTGTGGAAAATCATTACATTTTCTTCATATTTACTGCCAGTTCTTACGGTACTTTTGTATTATATCTAGCTGCTGTTGTTGTTGTTGTTGTTGTTCAGTTAGAGACAATAGAACAAGATCATCAGCATAAATCGGAAACTTCACCTAACTATGGAGGGAGAGCCCAGCAGCAGCAGCACATTGATCCAACTGAACAGCAAGTTCATTTATATATACATTAAATAAAGTTTTCCTTAACATAATGAGTCTTTTGTGGTATATAAATAGCAAATACATAAATATACCTATCACTCTTTCTCAGGGTTTGAGCTAATTAACCAAATGTGTGATTTATGCTGTTTTACTGCTGAGATCTGATGTTATGCTCTTGAGTTTTATCTGAGGCCTGTACTACGAAGCTGGTTCAACTTAACCTGGATATGTTGGAGTTAGCCGGTTGGCGTAATCCAAAACATACGCGCTGGCGCTAAACTGTACTACGACGCTGGATATCAAGTGGATCGCTCAAGCCGCCGTGTCCTATCTAGTTAGGTGCGCGTCACATGAAAGGGGTGGTATTTGGAGCATTCGACCAATCTCAAACACGGAGAAGCGTACTGACAGCGCAGCGTCATACTTCCTGAATGAAAAGTGAACTTTAATATTAGTCAAATATGAGGAAGTTAAACTTTAAACATCCATGACTTAAACACTTTACCCAGGATAAAAGCCACATAGCTGCACCTGCAAGGTGAATACAGCTGGTAAAAGAAAAAGTGTTTGAATGCGTACATTAACAGGTTTATGAAATCACTGCCCCGTCCAAGACACGAGTGGATCTGACTTTAATTAGGAGAATTTGACTCGAGTGTTTCGTCAATTTAATGTGTTGCTTAAAATAATACTTCTGCATACAGTATGTGACACTGTGAGTGTTGCACGGCCAGATACGGCTCAAGAAGCTGACTCAAATAAGGAAATATATGATACATTATGATGTGATATGATATGAATGATAATGAGACACATCTACGTCTGCACTCACAGTGCCGCGGACTGTACTTAATGTTACTCTGATCCGGTTACTTATGTCGTGGCAGATATTTAAGTAAGCTTTCTTAACGCTAATGTTATAATAGTCAGATTGCTCTGAAGATGGGAGGGGATATTCTATTAATTTTCACGTTCACACAGTCAGTTGATTTTGGCCGGTCGTCTTTCCTGCAACGGCAGTTTAAACTGTATTTCCTTTCTCCTCCTGTCATATGAATTGATCGCTTTAAACTCCGCACACGGAGCTCTGATTGGTCAGCAGGCAGTGCTTTTATCCTGGAACCTATCCTGCTCCGGAGGATAGCCGTTCAGAATAAGTTATTGAAGTAAAAAGATATGATTCTACACTGTATTTTAGTGAACATGTATTGTTTGAACTGTTTTAGGTAATCACAAACGGGTTTTGATAAGTCACTTAGAATAGGAATGTTATTCTTACTTTCAAACTCACTGATCCAGAGATTCTGTGTCTCACACACCAACATCCTTCTTATCATCCCTAAAAGCCAGATGCGGTTGTTAAGTCATTAAAGACATCGTTAAATAGGTGGAGAAGAGTTTAAATGTCTGAAGGAGGATAGTTTAGGTGAAAAGATCCCCTGGGAAAGGAATGTAGAGTAAGATAAGGTAAAGATAAACATTGACTTTTGACCTGGTGTGGCTTGGGATCTCACTCTCTGTTCGGAACTCTGATTGACCTCGGCCAGAAGCGAATCCAGCCAATCAGGGCACTTGGGGGAGGTGGTCAGTTTAAACAGCTCCTCCCCAGGGGCTCTCTAATTGAATGAATGTGTGTTCCTTGTAAAAATTAAAATTAAATGTTCTTGCTTATGTTAAAACTGTAGCAGTTTGTTTTTATGTATGTATTTGTGTATAGATGTTGCAACTGCACAGAGCTTTAGCAATACTGTATGTAACTATGGTAATGCTAATAAAGTGTAATATATAATGTGAAGTGCTTTGAGCATTTGGGAGAGCGCTCTAATAAATGTAATGAATTATTATTATTATTGTTATTATTAGAATAAAGCTATTGAATTGAATGAGAGAAAGAGAGAGAGAGAGAGCCTGCTTCCTTATTTGAGTAATGCTGCCTTCAAGTGCTTCTCCTACATTCGCCTTCCGAATTTAAGAGATCACAAATAAGACTGTTTGTGTGTATTCTAGTAACTTTCAGGTTAAAAATACAATGAAAACAAACTTGTAGTAGTAGTTTTAGCTGTTGATATTCTATAAATTATGGGATATGTTCAGCTTGTGTGTTGTTGAGATTAGAAAAAAAATAATTCAACTCTGTGTGTGTGATATTTTCATGCCTTTTCCAATTCAGGGCCGACATAAATAGAAGCCTAAAACGTTTGCATGGGGTGAATATATAATACACTTTTTTAGACGATGAAACAATAATTGCTGATCTTAATTCAAACGTTTCTGGACGTTCAATAGAACGAAAATTAAAAACAGTTATTTTAGATGACACAGCTAACGTGTAGGATCGGAATATTTCGAGCCATGCCTGAATGCACCTCTGCCCAGCGTTTGCTCGCGCCACTGCCGCCAGAAAGAGATTTAAACCGCCGCTGTGTCTCCGCCCCCTCAGAAAATTATAAATATAGGCAGCTCCTTTCCTCCTTTCACTACAACCTTCAACAACCGATTCTTCAGTGTCTGAAAGAAGCAGCGGAAAAATCCTACAAAAATGGTGAGTACTGACGAACAAAACAATTATATAAATAATAAAACTACCGGTAATTTGATTTTTTGCCGTTAAAATCCCGTTTATGTGCCTAAATTGAGGTGGCTTTAGTCCAAACAGTTGGCGCAGTTCAAATCATAACGGTTGAAATTGGCCGTTAAAACGTAACTTCCATCGCTTTAAACTACAGTCAAAGATACTGAATCGACATCTGGGCAATTTTTTTTTCAGTTTAATAGGAATGAAAGCATACAGTATAAAATGGTATGCGAAAAACTGTTTTCCCATTTTTGTGGGTTTGGAAGACATTACTGTAAGCCGGCGAGCTAGAAGACTCCATCAGATAACGAGTCTGTCCAGGAACGTTACAGAAAGGCAGGGCTTTGCAGTAGGGAGGAGAGATGTTGCTCGTTTTGGGAGGCCGGACAGGAACACGTGACTCAGCACAAAGTTACTAGGGTTAGGGTTTATAACCTGTCAGCGCCCAAAACACAATTTAAAAGGGAATGATTTTTAGGGAAATATTGTCCAATAAATCGGCCATATTGTAATGTACCCCTCCCTCCCAACCTTTTTTAATGTATCCCTGTGACTGTATATCTAATAGTGTGTAGATAGTGTTGGTAATTGGTTAATTTAATTGCGACAAATCACAATTTTAGAGTTGAATCCAGTTGTGTTTTATTTGTCAAATTGACACATGGAAACGGTTTGTATTAACATACGTTGTAGTACTTGTATAAGGAGGTCAGTGATTGCACTGTATAAACTGACATGGAATGTATCTGTTCAAATTCAAAAATGTAATCTGCTCTTTAATAAAATAACTGTTTGTCTCTCCTCCACAGCGTGAGTGTATCTCTATGCATGTCGGCCAGGCCGGAGTCCAGATGGGCAATGCCTGCTGGGAGCTCTACTGCCTGGAGCACGGCATCCAGCCTGACGGTCAGATGCCGAGTAACAAGACCATCGGAGGAGGAGACGACTCCTTCAACACCTTCTTCAGCGTGACTGGAGCCGGCAAACACGTCCCCAGAGCCGTCTTTGTGGACCTGGAGCCCACTGTCATCGGTAAGGATACACATATTTTTATTTAAACGTGTAATAATATTTTTGAAGAAGACGGGTAGGACAGACGGATAAATAGATGCTTATTGAACCCAAATTGGGAAATTATTTTGTTGCCGCAGCAGTGTGTTCAGGCATTAAAATATATAAATAATAAAATAAAATCAATAAACAGCAAATATAATATCTACAGTAGAATAGACGTGTATCTAAAATATTCTGGATTATTCTGGTTCAATACCCATGACTGTACCCGTGTTGTTCCTCAGATGAAGTCCGTACAGGAACCTACCGCCAGCTCTTCCACCCCGAGCAGCTGATCACCGGAAAGGAGGACGCAGCCAACAACTACGCCCGCGGTCACTACACCGTCGGCAAGGAGATCATCGACCTGGTTCTTGACAGGACTCGCAAACTGGTGAGCTCTTCATCTCATTTACATGTTGCAAGTGAAGCCTTTAAAATAAATATATATTTCGATTGATGGCAAAACATTTAAAACCATTATCCCTTATTTCCAGGCTGACCAGTGCACAGGGCTCCAGGGTTTCCTGATCTTCCACTCCTTTGGAGGAGGAACCGGCTCTGGCTTCACCTCCCTGCTGATGGAGCGTCTCTCTGTTGACTACGGCAAGAAGTCCAAGCTTGAGTTTGCGGTTTACCCCGCCCCCCAGGTGTCCACCGCTGTGGTGGAGCCCTACAACTCCATCCTGACCACCCACACCACCCTGGAGCACTCCGACTGTGCCTTTATGGTGGACAATGAGGCCATCTACGACATCTGCCGCAGGAACCTGGACATCGAGCGCCCCACCTACACCAACCTCAACAGGCTGATTGGACAGGTCGTCTCCTCCATCACCGCCTCCCTGCGCTTCGATGGTGCCTTGAATGTGGATCTGACTGAGTTCCAGACCAACTTGGTGCCCTACCCTCGTATCCACTTCCCTCTGGCCACCTACGCCCCAGTTATCTCTGCAGAGAAGGCCTACCACGAGCAGCTGTCGGTCGCTGACATCACCAACGCCTGTTTCGAGCCGGCCAACCAGTTGGTGAAATGCGACCCCCGCCACGGCAAGTACATGGCCTGCTGCCTCCTGTACCGTGGTGATGTGGTGCCCAAAGATGTCAACTCTGCCATCGCCACCATCAAAACCAAGCGCTCCATCCAGTTTGTGGACTGGTGTCCCACTGGCTTCAAGGTGGGCATCAACTACCAGCCCCCCACCGTGGTTCCTGGAGGAGACCTGGCCAAGGTGCAGAGGGCCGTGTGCATGCTGAGCAACACCACCGCCATCGCAGAGGCCTGGGCTCGCCTGGACCACAAGTTCGACCTGATGTACGCCAAGAGGGCCTTCGTCCACTGGTACGTTGGAGAGGGGATGGAGGAGGGAGAGTTCTCTGAGGCCAGAGAGGATATGGCCGCCCTGGAGAAGGATTATGAGGAGGTGGGCACCGACAGCGTGGGGGACGAAGGAGAAGAAGGGGAGGAGTACTAAGCCACTGAAACATCTGTGGTGAAGACTCTGACCCTCCAGAGCCTGGACGACCATCTCTTTAGCTTGGCTTCAGTTATTTTGGCGCGTGACTCAAGATTTTAAACTCTTAATGATGAAGGACACCGTAATGTTTAAAAAAAACAAAAAAAAACAGGGTTCAGCTGTTGCATCTGGTGACTTAAAACAAATGTTAATCTTTCTATTTTCTTTTGAGTCATTCCAAACGTTGGTTAACTGCATTGTTCTGACAGGCATTGATGATGGGATGCCAGGCCGGGGGAGGCAACCTGTACACTGACTAAACCATTTCAATAAAGTGCACTTGTGTTCCGACATGACATCTGCCTCTTCCATTAAATGACTTTATATCAAGGTGAATGTGACTTCCCTATCTGGTACAGAAAATAACACATGATCATTTCAATATATTTTTCAATGATGATGAGAAAAATGTTTTAAAAAAGGACCATTCAATCGAATTTTCAAATGTTATGGCTTGTGAGATCCGAGTCAAAATAATTACAATTACTGAGTTAAACCTCAACTAAACAGACACACATCTGCTTTAAGGAAGTTAGTGCATACTCATGCCTAAAATTAAATGTTCCTATATGACACAATGCAAATGTACTTGCTATTCGCTTTGCCATTACTAATTTCATGAAATATAATTTGACTATAAATAAAATACAGACAGCCGAGATAAATACTCTTAAAGTTTGTGGCTCGTGCTTTTAGTGCACATGTTTAAACTAAAATAGCTATTTATCTGCTTGCTTTGATCAGTATCTCCTTCAGGCTTTATGCTGACCTCTTTACTGCAGTGTTACCTGGATCAGCTTTGAAATGATAAATTAAACGCAGACCCCACTGAGCTCAGATCCGTCACTTATTGATGCACAGAAGACTTTGTGTCCTAACCTCTCATATTTTATTATCATTTGTGAAGATACTCTCCTGAGATCATGAGATTGTTAACAAGCTATAAAACCCAGTGATGAGAAAATTGACAAAATGTATTTGGGAAATGTGTGGCGCAGTGGTCTAGTGCGTTGGTGTTCGGATCAGGGGAGCTCAGGTTCAAACCCCACTGCAGTCAGCATGTCGTTGTGTCCCTGGGTAAGACACTTCACCCCAAATTGCTCCTGTGGGGATTGTCCACAGTATTGAGTATGTAAGTCGCTTAGGATAAAAGCGTCTAACAAGTAACATGTAATGTTTTTCCTCTCCGAACACACATTCAACTATGATCGCAGGCGTGTTCTCTGTGGAAAGAAAGTTGAAAACATAGGATTTTATGGAGAAAATACTCCTGTTCAAATGTAATGATTAAGACATCTACTGTACGCTCAACGGGCACTACTCTTTGTTAACATAACTGAAATATATTCCCAGTGGTGTACTCTACAGTCAGTGTGTAACACAACACATCCCTTGGTTAACAAACTGCACCTCCTTGATAAGCACTCAACATTTAAGCTTTAATTCCTCCACAAAGCAGGTGGGTGCAATGCCTTACATAACACAAATACCTCAGGATTAAACCAGGAGTGTTTAGTGGTGCTAGGAATAGTTTTCAGTTTGTTTTTTAAGTAATATCTTTTTGCACAAACAGGTAAGTTCAGGTTTCACTTTACAATGAACAAATGTAGATTTATGAACAGAGAGAGTCCACAGCACCTGAGGCCTGGGGGCTATACTACGAATCAAGATTTTCGTTTAGCAAGCTAACTTCAGGGGTTTCCGGTCCTACGAAGCTGGTTCACTTTTTAGCGGGCTAGATAACTTATTCTGAACGGCTATCCTCCGGAGCAGGATAGGTTCCAGGATAAAAGCACTGCCTGCTGACCAATCAGAGCTCAGTGTGCGGAGTTTAAAGCGATCAATTCATATGACAGGAGGAGAAAGGAAATACAGTTTAAACTGCCGTTGCAGGAAAGACAGCCGGCCAAAATCACCGACTGTGTGAACGTGAAAATGAATAGAATATCACCTCCCATCTTCAGAGCAATCTGACTATTATAACATTAGCGTTAAGAAAGCTTACTTAAATATCTGCCACAACATAAGTAACCTACAGTCCGCGGCACTGTGAGTGCAGACGTACCCCATTATCATTCATATCACATGATATCACATCATAATGTATCATATATTTCCTTATCTGAGTCAGCTTCTTGAGCCGTATCTGGCCGTGCAACACTCACAGTGTCACATACTGTATGCAGAAGTATTATTTTAAGCAACACATTAAGTTGACACTCGAGTCAAATGTAATTAAAGTCAGATCCACTCGTGTCTTGGACGGGGCAGCAGTGATATCATAAAACTGTTAATGAACGTATTCAAACACTTTTTCTTTTACCAGCAGTATTCACCTTGCAGCTGCAACTATGTGGCTTTTATCCTGGATAAAGTGTTTAAGTCATGGATGTTTAAAGTTTAACGTCTTCATATTTGTCTAATATTAGTTGACTTTTCATTCAGGAAATATATGACGCGCTGCGCTGTCAGTAGCCTACACGGCTTGTCCATGTTTGTGATTGGTCGAATGCTCCAAATACCACCCCTTTTATGTGAACGCGCACCTAACTAGATAGGACACGGCTGGCTTGCGGTCGAGGTGATAGCCAGCGTCGTAGGACAGTTTAGCGAGAGCGTTTTTGTTTTTTGGATTTAGTCAGCCGGATAACTCAAAACATATCCAGGATATGTTGAACTAGATTCGTAGTATACCTCCCAGGCCTCTGGTATCTGTAAGGGTTCAAAAAACAAATACAAAACAAATTCTGTTGCTTTTCCATTTACTGGTTTAGGAGAGGAAAAACAATTGATACGTACACGGACAGTTTTTACACCGTTTCTCTTTGTACACACTTATTTACAGGACATGTAGTGTTTGCAGTATTTATTGTTTCCACACAGTGGTAAAGCTCTGTGTGTACATTCCTCCCTTCTCCTCCTAAACAGAAACATGCTGTTATGAAGAAGTGAGCAATGCCAGTGTGTTACAGGATACAAATGAACGTATTTGAATTTAAATCAAGCAGCAGGTGAAACTGATCGTATGACTAAAAAAAGAGGGGATAAAGGAATGTAACAAAGTCTTCATGTAGGAATAAAATGAAGTCTGCTTCAGTCGTCATCTTCATCAACACCTCCACATTTCATATATTTATCCAGTCGTTTAGTCTGTTGAACTGAGGAGAAAGTGCCACTTGACATTAACCACTAAACATCATTTTAGGTAGTTAGTAGATAGTTCCCTTTCAAAAAATTAAATAAAAATGCAAATATAAAGGAATAACTTATACAATCCACAACAATATGAACATTGAAACACAGCCCATTACACTTCATTAATAGCTAAGAAGGCACACCAGATATGCATATAAATCTTACTGAAAATTAAATCCTTAAAAGCATTCAGATTCAAAATTAAATTAAAGTGAAAAAGAATCACAAACGCTGTTGATTTGAGAGTATCCCAGAAAGAAAACACCACCAACAAAGACAAACAAATAGCATTACAGCAGCGCTTTTCAGTAGTATTCACCTTCATCCATTTCAACAGCTGTAATTCAATACAAAGAACTACGGATGACCTACAGTTGCAAAAACATTACAACGCCCCGGAACATTTCCATTAGAAGAAACAAACGATGCAAATAAAAAAAAACACAAAAGGTGCCAAAACACATCTTGATCAACTTGACGAAACATACGCAGCGTTCCCTAAAAGCGCTGCATAAATGCAACGGAAACAGGGACATTAAAAAGTGACGCACATAGCTGGGACCGGAGCTCTTGTTGACATTTGGGGATTTTAAAATGTGCCAACTGGAAACGTACCTTAATGTTTCCTGTAGATATTGAATTGCTGTTTTTACGGCACTGTTAGTCTACAGATTTATTATTATTGTGCTGCTGTGTTTATTGTATTTTTGTAACTCTGGCACAACAATTTCCTTCGGGATGAATAAAGTCCTATCTTATTTTATCTTAAAAGTTGTATCGGCTTATTTGAACAATGTGGTCACATATTATTGCAGATCTTCTGTAAACTAATTTGCTAACGTAGCTAACCTAGACATTTAAAATATATTGACAAACCACTTTTGTCATTATGAAACAGTCTTTCATAATCCCATAATCCCGAGCGTGCATCACTTTTTAGTGTCCCCCTTTTCTGTTGTTTTGAGCTTCTTGCAGTGCTACGTTTATGAGGCTCTTTAAGTAATCGCTGCGCATGTTTCCTCAAGTTGGTGAAGATGTTTCTTGTGTGTTTTGGCACATTTGTGGTTTTATATTTACGTAATTTCTGGAGCTGCAGCGTGTTTCTCCTAATGGAAATGTTTTGGGCCGTTGTAGCACGTTTGCACTGGTCGACCACCGTAAAGGTCGCTGCTTGGTGAGTGCGTTGATATAAAGTGAAGAGCTGTTATGTTATAGGAATGGACTTAGTCTCCATTCACTCATTCGTCATCGATCAGTTTCTCAGCGCCGTTCTCTGCCTGTCTTCTTTCCTCTTCTCTTTTTCCCTCCTCCTCCTCCTCCTCCTCCTCTTCCTCCTCATACTCTCCGGTGTACGACGACTGGCTGCCGTAGTTGATGGTGGTGCGGGAGAGGTCCACTTCGATGGGGAAGACGTCCGCCTCCTTCAGGACGGCGTAGCACTCGTCGTAGTAATGAGACATTCCTGAGACGAAGCGCTGCAGCTGGAACACGATGTCCTGAACTGTGGAGGAGGAAGAGGAGGGAGAGAGTGGGACATCTTTGTTAAAAGTCTCCTATTATACTGTTTTTCATCAATATATTACAGGTCTCAGATATATACAAAACATGTCTCTGAAGTGTTTGGCTCCAAACACCAAACAGATCATTGCAGCATCCCATAATCCCCTCTGTTTCAGCCCTGTTTCAAAAGTGCTGATTCTCTGTCTGTGGTGGGGGGGGGGGGTACCTTGGTTGGTGATTGGCTAATGGTTACACAAGCCAAAACATCGTTATGACATCATAAAGTGGCCAAAATCTGATCAGCTCATTTTCAGACAGGTTTTTATATAAATGGATCAGGACAAAAAGAGAGAGAATCTTTTTTCCTGAAACTTTCAGAGTCTCTTTCCACAGAGGGGACACATGTTGATGTAGAAGAGACATGAAGAAGAGGGGACACATGTTGATGTAGAAGAGACATGAAGAAGAGGGGACACATGTTGATGGAGAAGAGACATGAAGAAGAGGGGACACATGTTGATGTAGAAGAGACATGAAGAAGAGGGGACACATGTTGATGTAGAAGAGACATGAAGAAGAGGGGACACATGTTGATGTAGAAGAGACATGAAGAAGAGGGGACACATGTTGATGGAGAAGAGACATGAAGAAGAGGGGACACATGTTGATGTAGAAGAGACATGAAGAAGAGGGGACACATGTTGATGTAGAAGAGACATGAAGAAGAGGGGACACATGTTGATGGAGAAGAGACATGAAGAAGAGGGGACACATGTTGATGTAGAAGAGACATGAAGAAGAGGGGACACATGTTGATGTAGAAGAGACATGAAGAAGAGGGGACACATGTTGATGTAGAAGAGACATGAAGAAGAGGGGACACATGTTGATGTAGAAGAGACATGAAGAAGAGGGGACACATGTTGATGTAGAAGAGACATGAAGAAGAGGGGACACATGTTGATGTAGAAGAGACATGAAGAAGAGGGGACACATGTTGATGTAGAAGAGACATGAAGAAGAGGGGACACATGTTGATGTAGAAGAGACATGAAGAAGAGGGGGACACATGTTGATGTAGAAGAGACATGAAGAAGAGGGGACACATGTTGATGTAGAAGAGACATGAAGAAGAGGGGACACATGTTGATGTAGAAGAGACATGAAGAAGAGGGGACACATGTTGATGTAGAAGAGACATGAAGAAGAGGGGACACATGTTGATGTAGAAGAGACATGAAGATGAGGGGACACATGTTGATGTAGAAGAGACATGAAGAAGAGGGGACACATGTTGATGTAGAAGAGACATGAAGAAGAGGGGACACATGTTGATGTAGAAGAGACATGAAGAAGAGGGGACACATGTTGATGTAGAAGAGACATGAAGAAGAGGGGGACACATGTTGATGTAGAAGAGACATGAGGAAGAGGGGACACATGTTGATGTAGAAGAGACATGAAGAAGAGGGGACACATGTTGATGTAGAAGAGACATGAAGAAGAGGGGACACATGTTGATGTAGAAGAGACATGAAGAAGAGGGGACACATGTTGATGTAGAAGAGACATGAAGAAGAGGGGACACATGTGATGTAGAAGAGACATGAAGAAGAGGGGACACATGTTGATGTAGAAGAGACATGAAGAAGAGGGGACACATGTTGATGTAGAAGAGACATGAAGAAGAGGGGACACATGTTGATGTAGAAGAGACATGAAGAAGAGGGGACACATGTTGATGTAGAAGAGACATGAAGAAGAGGGGACACATGTTGATGTAGAAGAGACATGAAGAAGAGGGGACACATGTTGATGTAGAAGAGACATGAAGAAGAGGGGACACATGTTGATGTAGAAGAGACATGAAGAAGAGGGGACCACATGTTGATGTAGAAGAGACATGAAGAAGAGGGGACACATGTTGATGTAGAAGAGACATGAGGAAGAGGGGACACATGTTGATGTAGAAGAGACATGAAGAAGAGGGGACACATGGTGATGTAGAAGAGACATGAAGATGAGGGGACACATGTTGATGTAGAAGAGACATGAAGAAGAGGGGACACATGTTGATGTAGAAGAGACATGAGGAAGAGGGGACACATGTTGATGTAGAAGAGACATGAAGAAGAGGGGACACATGTTGATGTAGAAGAGACATGAAGAAGAGGGGACACATGTTGATGTAGAAGAGACATGAAGAAGAGGGGACACATGTTGATGTAGAAGAGACATGAAGAAGAGGGGACACATGTTGATGTAGAAGAGACATGAAGAAGAGGGGACACATGTTGATGTAGAAGAGACATGAAGAAGAGGGGACACATGTTGATGTAGAAGAGACATGAAGAAGAGGGGACACATGTTGATGTAGAAGAGACATGAAGAAGTGGATTTTGCATAATAGGTGACCTTTTAAGAAATGTAATATCTCGCACACTGACAAACATGAAACAAACACTTAAAAAGATATTTAATAAAACAACAACAGACCATGTTTCTGGTCCAGCAGCTCGATCTTCTCCAGAACGTCCTTCCTCATCTTGGCGAAGCGGGCGCGGGCTTCCTGTCGGCACCGCAGCACCAGACGGTACTCGTAGTTCCCGGTGCTGACCCGGTACAGCGGCTCCCCCATGGCCTGCAGCAAGAAACACATTGTACACAATATTATATACACAAAAATGGCATCTGACAAGGCCTTGGAAACACTCAAATACACCAAAGTTAATTCCATGCTATCGACAATCCAACACATTTTGGACATGACAAAAATAAGCTTGTAAAATAAACTGAGTAAGTTACACCACAAATACAAACTCTGTCAAATAACATACTACAATCTATCCCATAAATAAATGAAATAAAACCGACACTCCTCCCCCATCCCAATCCCCCATCACCTACACTTTAATATACCTACTTTTTTAATTGATTTGGTTCTGTGATATTTATTTATTCTCCTTAAAATAGTTAATTAAAGTTATTTCAAAAAAGAATGAAAATGAGAACTCACGATGCTGCTGTATTCTTCATCATCCATTTCCTTCACCTTCAGGCAGTACGACTGAAAGACACAACAAATGAATGCAGTCTCTCTGTTGAATCATACAATTGTTGAACAAATGTACACGCATGTTTCCACCTTACCAGATACTCGAACTTCACGTCCAGGTACTTCCTGATGGTGAGCTTCGTGTCGGGAATGGCTTTGTGAAGATATGTGTTCAGATCGTGGAGCATCTAAATAACAACACATGATTGCTTGATAAGGAGCATTTCAAAAACAATCTAGAGGTCTTGATGTTTTCAGTGAGTGCTTCAAAGCCAGACGTTGATCTGTACTCACAGGTTTGATGGTCTTCAGCAGCTTGATGCCGTATTTCTCGATGTTGCGATGAGCGTCTGCAAACTTCACGAAAGCCTCGCTGGCTGCAGCCTGAGGCTCTCGAACCCCGATGACCGAGAACACATCGCCAAACGCTGCCGGGGAACATTTCCAAATACCAATCAGATACATTAGACACTAAAACTAAATCCATTAGGATGATTTCAGAATCAGAAATCCTTTATTCGGCCAACAGCAAGAACATTTACACTGTTACAGTAAAAGAGACGGTGCAGACAAAGGGTAGACTAACATGTAATAAGGAGGCAAGCACACGTGAATGAAATCTACACACTCAAGGTAGAGGTTACAAAATATCATTCTCATGTGTTTTCTTCTTTTTCTAGTACATGTCAAAGGTAAAAATGATTTTAACAAACTGTTTGTTATTACTTTCTAATTTTGATCGCCGTAACTCACCTCTGTGTGTTTGAGAAAGCTCAAAGAAAGCTCGGAGTAGTCTCTTCGTGTGCTCCATCAGACCTACAGGCAAACAGAAGAATGAGACATTGGTTAAAACAAATAACATTCAACATCAGATTTAAAATAATCACATTTTTAATTGATTTATTTGTACCTTTGTAGAGCTCTGCTGTCTTCTCCAGCTCCTCCAGTCTTTTGACCAGTCCGTCTGTGAAGCAAATTAAATCCACACAAGTATAGCTTTATATTTACCTAAATAAAAATCCCTAAAGATTTCACAATGATCCTAATAATAATCTTACCGTTACATAGAATCGCTCGACTGAGTCCCAGAGCATCAGCTGTGCCGGAGCTCAGATTCTCCACCAGGCGATGTTTCACTTTCTTCAGCACTGAAACACAAACATATATATAAAACATTGGATTACAATATTTAACATGTATGCTATAGTAATGTGTGTGTGTGTGTGTGTGTGTGTGTGTGTGTGTGTGTGTGTGTGTGTGTGTGTGTGTGTGTGTGTGTCTCTGTCTGTCTGAATGACTGTATGTCTGTCTGTCTGTCCGTCCGTCTGTCTGTAGGACTGTCTGTCCGTCCGTCCGTGTGTGTGTGTGTCTCTGTCTGTCTGAATGACTGTCCGTCCGTCCGTCTGTCTGTCTGTAGGACTGTCTGTCTGTGTGTGTGTCTGTGTGTGTGTGTGTGTGTGTGTGTGTGTGTGTGTGTGTGTGTGTGTGTGTGTGTCTCTGTCTGTCTGAATGACTGTCTGTCTGTCTGTCTGTCTGTCCGTCCGTCTGTAGGACTGTCTGTGTGTGTGTGTGTGTGTGTCTGTGTGTGTGTGTGTGTGTGTGTCTCTGTCTGTCTGTCTGAATGACTGTCTGTCTGTCTGTCTGTCTGTCCGTCCGTCCGTCCGTCCGTCTGTGTGTGTGTGTGTCTGTGTGTGTGTGTGTGTGTGTGTGTGTGTGTGTGTGTGTGTGTGTGTGTGTGTGTGTGTGTGTGTGTGTGTGTGTGTGTGTGTGTGTGTGTGTGTGTGTGTGTGTGTGTGTGTGTGTGTGTGTGTGCGTACGTGTGTACCTATATCCAGAGACTTCCCCTGTTTGGGGTCTGCCTGCAGTTTGTTGTAGTGGATGACTGCTTCCCCCTGTGGAAACATAAGCAGGAGATCAACAACAACAAATAAACTTAATTTTAAGTTTATCAACCAGTTCTAAAAAGTAAAGTCTCTTCTGTATTCATTGTATTTGACAAAAATCTAAAATCATCGCACAAAATAGGAGGAAGTATTTTGTTAGATGGATGATGTGCAAATATTTTATATGGCAAAAGATATATTTAAAAGGTGAAGAAAATACATTTGGAAACGTAAATAGGAATAAATATGTTTTCAACATTTTGAATTAAACAGTAAATAATTAAAATGAGAACAAATGTTAGCAATATATTTTTTTAAATGCAGCAAGAAGAACAGAGTCAGTTACAGGCATAAATAAAAATATGTAAAATTATTAAAACAGTAATAAAGCTTCATTGTTCCAAGAATTGCAATAAGAAATGTGTGTGGGCACAAGACAATTGTTTATATGCAACACATAAACATCAAAATAAAGAAACACATGACCAAAAACATGTGTAAATAAATGCCACCGGTGAAACTCACGTGCACATTTATTTGCACTGACAGCAGAATGTAATCCATGAAATCCATGAAATCCCACAGTGCACCCTGTCTTTAATCCAACAGGTCATGACATTTTTCTGGGTGCGAACAATGGACGGCAGAAACAACACAGATCTGCAGCGTTGACTTTATCCGGCTTTTATCAGCAGGCCCTTTTCTCCACAGTCCAGCAGAGTGTGTGCACCCATAATAAGTCAACTGTCCCACTATTCACTGATCAGCCTGCAGCCGAGACGGGACACAACACTGTGAGTAATGTTTTCATCCTTTTCCATGTTACTCTCAAATCTGCTTAAATTCAGTTTTAATGTATTTAAAGACACTGGTGGTCGTGAAAACCAATAGAACATATCGGAAGCTTTTTCTGAAAAGTTATTCCACGGTTGAGGAATAATCCTTTTCATATATATACACTTTATAACTTGTGAAAATGTTCCAGCTGTGGGATGAACAAATGATTTCTGAATGTGAATATAAGAGAATATTTAACCCTGAGTGCATGATGTGGGAAAAGCCAACTCACAGCCACAAAGCACGGTTAGCTGCATTCGATTATTGGGTTTAATTTGTATCTTAGTTAAAGCAAATACTTCCCTAATCACTAACAGAGAAGACCACAAACTAGACTTTGTAACCACATAATGATTTAAAAGTGAAATAATGGTGTGTTGTTCGGACTGTAAATCATTGTGTCAGTGTTACCTGCACAGCTTGGATCATCTTGGCCACCTCCACTTTGGTCTTTCCCTTCACTGGCTTCCCATTCACGCCTGTGAGCTCATCGCCTGCCGCCACCGTCCCATCCAGAGCTGCGGGGGTGTTATCAAACACCTGGGAGACAACACAAGCCTCATTAAAAAAGGTACCAAAAATGACACAGATTTATGTTTTACTTTCTTTTATTGTTTTCTTCACACACAAACAAATATTACATTTCAAAGAGAACAGTGCCTGTATGGAGACGATCAAATACTGCTTGGTGTTTATGACTCCTTTGTTGATATGTACCTTAACCATTTCCCCCAGCCCTTAAGAAATGTGTCTTCCATTACTTTCAACTTGAATGTGATTTTCTCCATGATTAGGATATCACCAATAATATGAACCCATTGTCTGTAGCTTGGTGCTTAAGCCTTTAGCCAGTTCTTAGTAAAAGCCTTCTTTCCAGCAGCTAGGAGGATCATTGATCTCCGACAGATCCTCCCATATGTCCCAAGGACAATACCAGACAGGTTCGAGGGATTCTATAGCCTAATACCTTGCAGAGAACAGAGTGTACACAGTCCCAGAAAGGTTGCATTTTACTGCAACTCCAAAACACATGTGTATGGTGAGGTTCCAGATGTTTACAAAGTCTCCAGCATGGTTTTTGAGTGTTTGTTTACTACACCAATGACACAGATGTATGTTTTTTTCATTTTAAACTTCATAGAAATGTGCTGATTCATAAACAGGGTTATAATCACTTGCTGTGTTCCTACCTGGACGATGTAGAGACACGGACAGTACTGAGCTCCTCCTCCAATGCTGATCCCAATCAGGTTATTAGGGTCTTTCTTCAGAACCACAGTACCAGGTACCGTTGGTATCCCCCTGTTGAGGAGAAAACATGATACATTAAAAAAGGACAGGGCAATATATTAATTCTACAAAGATATTGTGATATCAAACTAGATATCTTCCTGGATTTTGGACACTGCTTATGTGTTATCGTGGTTTTAAACGGCTGCATTACAGTAAAGCATGTCATTTTCGGAATTAACCAGACTGTACCATCTGTTTAAGCATCTGCTTTTACCAACTCTGCCATTATATCCACATTACTGATGATTTCTTTCCCCAAATGTCATTGTGTTAATATGCCAAAGCACCAATAGTCAACCCTGCAATATCGTTGAAATATGGATATCGAGACATCTGATTTTCTCCATATCGACTCGCACCACATTGAGTTTTGTAGCATTTTAGTGTTCATGTTTTTGCACAATTCTTAGTAGTCAAGCATTTTATTGTAAAGCTTAAAAAGTTTATAAGTAATGAGAAGAATGAGTATTAAGTCCATATCAGGAGTCACACTATTAGCGACTGCTTTTGTCTTTATATGAACTGAAGATTTAAGGATAACACACATTGAATGGCTCAGATTACAAAAAGGAAACACGTTATTATTACTCACAGTTTGTCCTCCTCCAACTCATAGTCCATGTCTGTGAACATCACAGCACAGCGTCACTGTCCCTGGTCAACCTGTGAATCATCAACATAGAAACCACTGCATTAAAATCAGGTAGGAGGATTGGTCAAATGCAAACAGACATATCACTTTGAGCAGCTGTTTCACGAGCTACAGGTACACAATACAAGTCCTTTTAAGTAAGCTAATCGGGATGGAAAATACAGTATCCATAACATTGATTAGAGCTCTAAATAAAGCAGGACAGAAGAGCTTTGTTCGCTGTAACTGATCTCAGAGCTGCAGCAGGTGGACAAACAGCTGGTGACTAACAGTTCATAATAACTACCTGATGTTCACCTGGTAACTGAGTCTGAATACGTGCAACATTTAAACTAAACACATCGACTTATGATCTAAAAACAACATGTGTAATATCTATGTATAATGACGTAAGCCAAAAGCAGGGGAAATTGCATGCTAACATTAGCTGCTACTGTTGGCTACAGCAGGTGGAAGAGCAGAAGTCGTTTGTTCAGAAACGTTAAAACGTCTTAAATAATTTACCTTAATTATATGTTTGCACAGGGTTGTCATTCAAGTGTCCCTTAGTGTTCATAAATCGCCCCCCTTTTGACGAAATTATCTTTTAATTCAATTTCTGGATCCACTGACAGCTCCTCTGTTTACTTTCTGACGTCACTGCCGGGATCATAGCGGAAGTGGTCATAGGCGAGACTTTTTACATGTAAAATGTTTTTGGATGGTTTCGTTTTTTATAAACAACACGTCCACATTTTTCAGTGGTAAACAAATATTATATTAATACCAAACATCTTTATAAATGTAGACTATGTTAGCAACCAATAAAAACCCAATGTAATTACTTCCAAGTATTTATGATCATAGGTTTTCTTTCTTCTTTTTTGCCAATGTCTGGAACTGCAACATTGTAATTTTATTTTTATTATTTAAAAAAAAAGGGGTATTAATAAACAAAACAAAATGAGGTCAAACTGGTGTAAATATACAGATTAAACGGTAACATAATCCCACCATCGGTAAATTCCAGTAACACAATTAAGCAATTGAATAACTGAAATGGTCATAAAAAAACATGTTCTGCATAGATAAATATACATGTAACATATATACATAAAGGTTTATTCTAAAGACTCTTTTGTGAGCCATGATGGGGCCGTGACCAATTGGGCAGAGCCATATAATATGGCGCTGCAATTGGGGTACTCGAGTTTGCACTTTTTTAACCGTAATCTTCACCCTTTCGTTTGGGCAGACATTAGAATCGCGAGTTTTACCGCCATCTTGTGGTCAAAAGGTGGAACTGCAATATATTAAATGACAGATGCTAACACTTCCGGTGAATACTTTCGAAAAATTGAGTGGTCGAACTGAAGCATTTCGAGACAATTATCGGTCCATATTCCCCTAATGTCCCAGTGTCAGTCTTAAATGGAAACTACAATGGACAAATTGTGAGACATTTGACGATAGAGGCAGCTTAATAGCGCATTTCAGGGCTGGACTAACAACAACATTGGTACTGATGCTCCTGAAATTGTTTGCTAGCACTGTAGCATTGTTAGCTCTATAAACTGTTACTCCCGTTAGCCTCTCACTCTCACGTTTTATCCTAACTCGTGTCGGCTGATAGAGGTTTTTAATTTAAATATATTAAGTGGCAAGACGTGTAACCTCTTATTTAATTAGTTTAGTTTGTTTGCCGTTACATTACCTTTTATTTTGTAAATAACCGGAACGGAAGTGGTACAGTGACACGCTTGACGAATTTTAAGTCTGGCAGTTCTAATGTTTGACAACCCATGTGTACCAAGCAGAAAGGTTTATGAATATTATAAAGGCATGGAAGTAGTTGAAAGCATTCAAAGTTATTAAAATAAAATACACGTAAACTACCCAAACTGTCAATATGTTCTTTTAGATCATTTAAACATGCAGATTATCATAGCAGACTATTTGATTAAAGTAGAGTGTATTGCAGTAGGTGGTGCTTGTGCTCCAATGTAATATATAATGCATTGCAGACCCTCCTCAATGGAAACAATGGCTCCCAATCTTGATACATTTTTCAAAGTTCTTGACAGAGTAGTTTTATAAACACATCACAGTATCACAGGGGCAGCTGCTACTCAAAATCCTCTCTGTGATTAATCTCATTTTCAATATTAGTCCAACAGCAGTAATTAAAGAGAGCCGAGCCTCTGCATTGAATGGGCTTCTTGATTGTCATGATGATGATGAACGAGCCACATTGCTGAGTCCTTTGTGCTTCACATTATACATTAAGAGAAACTTCACAGTCTTACTACTTGTTGTCTTCCAGTGCAGAAAGACCATCTTCCATCAGCTGCAGGAGTGTTAACTAACACCCAAAATCACCATGGTAAGTTCATCTGCTTTGTCTTTAACTGTACTGCCTTATGAACAGAGTATGTGTTTGCAGCCTGTAATTGGTTGAATACAACTCTAATGCTATTATGACAAACAGCCTTCTGTAATTTTCCCAATAAATTCTTTAAAACTTTAATTTCTGTGTTTCTCAGCTACTTGAAATGAAGAATGTGAGTCTGACAACCGGAGACAGGCTGAAAGTGAAGGGGATCATTCAGCATGATGCCGAGAGGTAAGCAAACCAAACACACAGAACATATTTAGTACAACCTTTTAAACTAAATATGATAATATGGTCATATGCATTAACAAATGCATTCTGGAAAGAAAATACTTGAATAAGTTGTTTTGTTGCAACTTAAAATCAGTTGCTCTCTAGAGAATGATGGGTGAACAATAAATGCACAAGATATTTGTTTAGTAATCCTCTTAAGGATCTTAAATTCTTGCAAGTATGGTTCATCCAACAAGTCAGCACCCTAGACTGAGTGACATAGGACATTTTAAAGGGGTACTGGAAAACAACTATAAATTGTACGGATGTTGTTTTTATCACCTTCTTATGAGTGTGGAAAAAAAATACTTTTGTAAGTACGTTATTTTCTTCCTGATAACTTCAGGTCAGTTTTGTTATTTTCCTAAAACCCTTATCTTGCAGTGTTATAAAACATTTTATACTATACTAAAACATCTGTTTAGTATTACAATACTTCTTTAAATCTTTAAGGTTACATTTCCACACCTTTTTAAAACCACATTTCTATTAAAGTAGCCTTGTGATTATATAATATTAAACCTCTGTTTATAATCTCTGATCCATCCAGATTCAAGATCGAGCTGGGCTGTGGTACGGACGACATCGCGCTGCACTTTAATCCCCGTTTTGATGACGACGTTGATGGTTCCGTTATTGTTTGCAACTCAAAGACTGGTGGGTCTTGGGGCAATGAGGTCCGGGACACACACAACCCTCTACACCGGGGAAGAGTGGTCAATGTGAGGAACACTGAGGGTCATATCAGTATTTTGTGCCTCTACTGGGACATGTCTCCATGCTTTAATGTTCAAAAAGCTCTTTATTTCTCTCATACTGCCTGTGCTGCAGGCTGCAGGACCTCTTTTCACCCTCTGTCTGAAACCAGAGCCCAGTCTGCTCTGATTGGTTAGCTGGCCGGCTCTGTTGTGATTAGTCAACCTCTTTGAGATGTCCCGCCCCTTAGCCTATCACGTACAATGTGTTGGAGCGCTAGCCAATAGAAGGGCCAGAGTTACATAGTGACATTAATGAGTCCAATGGAGTCGTTTTCTCTTGAAGTGCATCAACCATTTCAGTTTTTTTAGGAACGTTTTTAGATTTTTCTCAGATTCCTTTCTTATAATCTTTTCTATTTCAGCTGGAGTTGACGCTGGATGGAGACGTGTTTGAGGTGGCGCTTCCTGACGGACAGCAGCTGCAGTTTCCAAACCGTGAGAAAGTGGACGTCATCAACTACGTCCGAATCGCAGGAGACTTCAAACTGACTTCCTTCAAGATCTGCTAAAAGACACATGGTTAAAGATGAGACTTTGAGACAGTTATTGTAAGAAATATTGTTAAGGGGCGTAGATCTTCAATGTGAATTTGAAATGTATCTTTATTTGAAAATGTCCCGTTGTGCTCAAGAAAATAAAATGTTTAAATTCAAAGGATCTTTTGTCTTTTGTCTCTGAATTGTTGAAGCTTAATTCTGGGTTTGGAAACAATATTTGAACCTACTTTTCAACTAAAGAAACACAGTATCAGTGCACTCATGAGACAACAAATCAACACTGACATTTCTTTACTGTAAAACCCATGCAAACATAGTATGAATTGATAGAAATAACTTGAAGTGCAATGCATGGGCGTCACTTTGTTAGAAAAAGTGGTAGGGACGATTTTCCAGATTCAACATCAGCATAGCAGAAGACAACATATGTCCCTCTCCTGGATGCTGAACCTCAAGCACCTGCATGAAAAACCAAGGCATAGACCTCTGGACCACCAATGTGTTTGAAAAAAAAACGCCTAACTACTGTATAGGTCTTGATTCTCTTCACCTGGTGCCCTTGGGTTTGTCCTACCCTGCCCAGCTGTGTCTTGTCCTCTGATTAGTTCTGCATGTATTTAAGTTCTGGTATTCTGTTGGTGGATGTGGTGGGATTCTTGACTCAGATCTGTTTGTTGTTTTAGGTATTGAGCCTTTAAATAAAGGTATTTTCCATTCAAACCATTGTCTGTCCCGCAATTGGGTCCTACCTGCTCTGCTCATCCCTGACAAATTGTTGCGGTAATTTACATATACGTTACTTTTATTCTTTTACAGGAAATGTTGTATTTTACTGCACCATGATATTATGTCTGCAGTGACTGAGGTATTTGTTTTGTTGAAATCATATCTTTATGCTGCATGATGTATGGTAGATAATTTACAAAATCTAAAATGAGTGTATGAAGTCTAATAGATTTGTTTTTGTAAAGCAGTATTGATTCTGTTGAAGAAATGAAGCCTCATCTGCAGAACAGCAGAGATTTGTTATTGTTCTGATTAAAATAATACTTTTACAATATGGTGTTTTATTATGTTTTCTCTGGCCTTCAAGAAAAGATAAGTGAAGTTACACCAGTTCATTTATTAACAATGTACAGAGGTTTATCACAAGCGTAATAACTGAAATGGTCACAAAAAAACATGTTCTGCATAGATAAATATACATGTAACATAAAGGTTTATTCTAAAGACTCTTTTGTGAGCCATGATGGGGATTAGGTGATCGTCACGTGACCAATTGGTGTACTCGAGCTAGCACTTTTTTTAACCGTAATCTTCACCCTTTCGTTGGGGCAGACATTAGAATCGAGAGTTTTTAACCGCCATCTTGTGGTCAAAAGGTGGAACTGCAGTATATGAAATGAATAAAGCCAGCTGCATTACAGACATGACAGATCGCTAACACTTCCGGTGAGTACTTTCGAAAAATGGAGTGGTCGAACTGAAGCATTTCGAGACAATTATCGGTCCATATTCCCCTAATGTCCCAGTGTCAGTCTTACATTGAAACTACAACGGACAAATTGTGAGACATTTGACGACAGAGGCATCTTAATAGCGCATTTCAGGACTGGGCTAACAATAACATTGGTACTGTGATGCTCCTGAAATTGTTTGCTAGCACTGTAGCATTGTTAGCTCTATAAACTGTTACTCCCGTTAGCCACCTAACTCTCACGTTTTATCCTAACGTCGTGTCAGTGGATATAGGTTTTTAATATAAATCTATGAAGTGGCAAGACTTGTAACGTCTTATTTAATTAGTTTAGTTTGTTTGCCGTTACATTACCTTTTATTTTGTAATGAACCGGAAGTGGTTTCTATACAGTGACACGCTGGAAGGATTTTAAGTCTTGCAGTTCTAATGTTTGATAACCACGTGTACCAAGCAGAAAGGTTTAGGAATAAAGGGTATAGAAATCATTAAAAACATACAAAGTTATTAAAACAAAATACACGTAAACTGCCCAAACTGTCAATATGTTCTTTTAGATAATTTAAACATGCAGATTATCATAGCAGACTATTTGATTAAAGTAGAGTGTATTGCAGTAGGTGGTGCTTGTGCTCCAATGTAATATATAATGCATTGCAGACCCTCCTCAATGGAAACAATGGTTCCCAATCTTGATACATTTTTCAAAGTTCTTGACAGAGTAGTTTTATAAACACATCACAGTATCACAGGGGCAGCTGCTACTCAAAATCCTCTCTGTGATTCTTCTCATTTTCAATATTAGTCCAACAGCAGTAATTAAAGAGAGCCGAGCCTCTGCATTGAATGGGCTTCTTGATTGTCATGATGATGAACGAGCCACATTGCTGAGTCCTTTGTGCTTCACATTATAAATTAAGAGAAACTTCACAGTCTTACTACTTACATGTTGTCTTCCAGTGCAGAAAGACCATCTTCCATCAGCTGCAGGTGTGTTCACTAATACTCAAAGTCACTATGGTAAGTTCATCTGCTTTGTCTTTAACTGTACTGCCTTATGAACAGAGTATGTGTTTGCAGCCTGTAATTGGTTGAATACAACTCTAATGCTATTATGACAAACAGCCTTCTGTAATTTTCCCAATAAATTCTTTAAAACTTTAATTTCTGTGTTTCTCAGCTACTTGAAATGAAGAATGTGAGTCTGACAACCGGAGACAGGCTGAAAGTGAAGGGGATCCTTCAGCATGATGCCGAGAGGTAAGCAAACCAAACGCAGAAAACATATTTAGTACAACCTTTTAAACTAAATATGATAATATGGTCATATGAATTGACAAATGCATTCTGGAAAGAAAATACTTTTAAAAACTTGAATAAGTTGTTTTGTTGCAACTTAAAATCAGTTGCTCTCTAGAGAATGATGGGTGAACAATAAATGCACAAAATATTTGTTTAGTAATCCTCTTAAGGATCTTAAATTCTTGCAAGTATGGTTCATCCAACAAGTCAGCACCCTAGACTGAGTGACATAGGACATTTTAAAGGGGTACTGGAAAACAACAATAAATTGTACGGATGTTGTTTTTATCACCTTCTTATGAGTGTGTAAAAAAAATACTTTTGTTAGTACGTTATTTTCTTCCTGATAACTTCAGGTCAGTTTTGTTATTTTCCTGAAACCCTTATCTTGCAGTGTTATAAAACATGTTATACTATACTTAAACATCTGTTTAGTATTACAATACTTCTTTAAATCTTTAAGGTTACATTTCCACACCTTTTTAAACCAAATTTCTATTAAAGGTGGGGTAGGTAATTTTGGAGAAACCAGCTCGAGTGTGCTAGAATTTGAAAATACACAACCGGAAAAAATCTGCCACTTCCTTACAGAGCCCCTCCTCCAACACACACGAACGCGTACATGACCAATGAGGGCACGAGATAAGTTTGTGCACAGATGGAAGGCTGACAGGCAGGTAGGCCATCCAGTTATTTTAGCCAGGCCGGCTCAGATGATTGGTCGTGCTTTTTACAGTACTACGGCTTCCACAGATGACATTTTTTTATGGATTTTTTGTCAAAGCACTTAAGATATTCATTGCTATCGGGATGTTAAGAGCATTCCATGGAATATAACAAAAAGTGTATCTCGAGCCGGTTTCTCAAACTTACCTACCCCACCTTTAAAGCAGCCTTGTGATTATATAATATTAAACCTCTGTTTATAATCTCTGATCCATCCAGTTTCAAGATCGAGCTGGGCTGTTGTACGGACGACATCGCGCTGCACTTTAATCCCCGTTTTGATGACGACGTTGATGGTTCCGTTATTGTTTGCAACTCAAAGACTGGTGGGTCTTGGGGCGATGAGGTCCGACACACACACAACCCTCTACACCGGGGAAGAGTGGTCAAGGTGAGGAACACTGAGGTTCATATCAGTATGTAGTGTCTCTACTGGGACATGTCTCCATGCTTTAATGTTCAAAAAGCTCTTTATTGTTCTCATACTGCCTGTGCTGCAGCACCTCTTTTCACCCTCTGTCTGAAACCAGAGCCCAGTCTGCTCTGATTGGTTAGCTGGCCGGCTCTGTTGTGATTAGTCAACCTCTTCGAGATGTCCCGCCCCTTAGCCTATCACGTACAATGTGTTGGAGCGCTAGCCAATAGAAGGGCCAGAGTTACATAGTGACATTAATGAGTCCAATGGAGTCGTTTTCTCTTGAAGTGCATTTCCTAAACCAGATTACATCAACCATTTCAGTTTTTTTTAGGAACGGTTTTAGATTTTTCTCCAATTCCTTTCTTATAATCTTTTCTATTTCAGCTGGAGTTGATGCTGGATGGAGACGTGTTTGAGGTGGCGCTTCCTGACGGACAGCAGCTGCAGTTTCCAAACCGTGAGAACGTGGACGTCATCAACTACGTCCGAATCAAAGGAGACTTCAAACTGACTTCCTTCAAGATCTGCTAAAAGACACATGGTTAAAGATGAGACTTTGAGACAGTTATTGTAAGAAATATTGTTAAGGGGTGTAGATCTTCAATGTGAATTTGAAATGTATCTTTATTTGAAAATGTCCCGTTGTGCTCAAGAAAATAAAATGTTTAAATTCAAAGGATCTTTTGTTTTTTGTCTTTGAATTGTTGAAGCTTAATTCTGGGTTTGGAAACAATATTTGAACCTACTTTTCAACTAAAGAAACACAGTATCAGTGCACTCATGAGACAACAAATCAACACTGACATTTCTTTACTATAAAACCCATGCAAACATAGTATGAATTGATAGAAATAACTTGAAGTGTAATGCATGGGCGTCACTTTGTTAGAAAAAGTGGTAGGGACGATTTTCCAGATTCAACATCAGCATAGCAGAAGACAAAATGTGTCCCTCTCCTGGATGCTGAACCTCAAGCACCTGCATGAAAAACCAAGGCATAGACCTCTGGACCACCAATGTGTTTGAAAAAAAACCGCATAACTATAGGTCTTGATTCTCTTCACCTGGTGCCCTTGGGTTTGTCCTACCCTGCCCAGCTGTGTCTTGTCCTCTGATTAGTTCTGCATGTATTTAAGTTCTGGTTTTCTGTTGGTGGATGTGGTGGGATTCTTGAGTCAGATCTGTTTCTTGTTTTAGGTATTGAGCCTTTAAATAAAGGTATTTTCCATTCAAACCATTGTCTGTCCCGCAATTGGGTCCTACCTGCTCTGCTCATCCCTCACAAATTGTTGCGGTAATTTACATGTACGTTACTTTTATTCTTCTACAGGAAATGTTGTATTTTACTGCACCATGATATTATGTTTGCAGTGACTGAGGTATTTGTTTTGTTGAAATCATATCTTTATGCTACATGATGAATGGTAGATAATTTACAAAATCTAAAATGAGTGTATGAAGTCTAATAGATTTGTTTTTGTAAAGCAGTATTGATTATGTTGAAGAAATGAAGCCTCATCTGCAGAACAGCAGAGATTTGTTATTGTTCTGATTAAAATAATACTTTTACAATATGGTGTTTAATTATGTTTTCTCTGGCCTTCAAGAAAAGATAAGTGAAGTTACACCAGTTCATTTATTAACAATATACAGAGGTTTATCACAAGCGTAATAACTGAAATGGTCACAAAAAAACATGTTCTGCATAGATAAATATACATGTAACATAAAGGTTTATTCTAAAAACTCTTTTGTGAGCCATGATGGGGATTAGGTGATCGTCACGTGACCAATTGGTGTACTCGAGTTAGCACTTTTTTTAACCGTAACCTTCACCCTTTCGTTGGGGCAGACCTTAGAATCGAGAGTTTTTAACCGCCATCTTGTGGTCAAAAGGTGGAACTGCAGTATATGAAATGAATAAAGCCAGCTGCATTACAGACATGACAGATCGCTAACACTTCCGGTGAGTACTTTCGAAAAATGGAGTGGTCGAACTGAAGCATTTCGAGACAATTATCGGTCCATATTCCCCTAATGTCCCAGTGTCAGTCTTACATTGAAACTACAACGGACAAATTGTGAGACATTTGACGACAGAGGCATCTTAATAGCGCATTTCAGGACTGGGCTAACAATAACATTGGTACTGTGATGCTCCTGAAATTGTTTGCTAGCACTGTAGCATTGTTAGCTCTATAAACTGTTACTCCCGTTAGCCACCTAACTCTCACGTTTTATCCTAACGTCGTGTCAGTGGATATAGGTTTTTAATATAAATCTATGAAGTGGCAAGACTTGTAACGTCTTATTTAATTAGTTTAGTTTGTTTGCCGTTACATTACCTTTTATTTTGTAATGAACCGGAAGTGGTTTCTATACAGTGACACGCTGGAAGGATTTTAAGTCTTGCAGTTCTAATGTTTGATAACCACGTGTACCAAGCAGAAAGGTTTAGGAATAAAGGGTATAGAAATCATTAAAAACATACAAAGTTATTAAAACAAAATACACGTAAACTGCCCAAACTGTCAATATGTTCTTTTAGATAATTTAAACATGCAGATTATCATAGCAGACTATTTGATTAAAGTAGAGTGTATTGCAGTAGGTGGTGCTTGTGCTCCAATGTAATATATAATGCATTGCAGACCCTCCTCAATGGAAACAATGGCTCCCAATCTTGATACATTTTTCAAAGTTCTTGACAGAGTAGTTTTATAAACACATCACAGTATCACAGGGGCAGCTGCTACTCAAAATCCTCTCTGTGATTCATCTCATTTTCAATATTAGTCCAACAGCAGTAATTAAAGAGAGCCGAGCCTCTGCATTGAATGGGCTTCTTGATTGTCATGATGATGAACGAGCCACATTGCTGAGTCCTTTGTGCTTCACATTATAAATTAAGAGAAACTTCACAGTCTTACTACTTACATGTTGTCTTCCAGTGCAGAAAGACCATCTTCCATCAGCTGCAGGTGTGTTCACTAATACTCAAAGTCACTATGGTAAGTTCATCTGCTTTGTCTTTAACTGTACTGCCTTATGAACAGAGTATGTGTTTGCAGCCTGTAATTGGTTGAATACAACTCTAATACTATTATGACAAACAGCCTTCTGTCATTTTCCCAATAAATTGTTTAAAACTTTAATTTCTGTGTTTCTCAGCTACTTGAAATGAAGAATGTGAGTCTGACAACCGGAGACAGGCTGAAAGTGAAGGGGATCATTCAGCATGATGCCGAGAGGTAAGCAAACCAAACACACAAAACATATTTAGTACAACCTTTTAAACTAAATATGATAATATGGTCATATGCATTAACAAATGCATTCTGGAAAGAAAATACTTTTAAAAACTTGAATAAGTTGTTTTGTTGCAACTTAAAATCAGTTGCTCTCTAGAGAATGATGGGTGAACAATAAATGCACAAAATATTTGTTTAGTAATCCTCTTAAGGATCTTAAATTCTTGCAAGTATGGTTCATCCAACAAGTCAGCACCCTAGACTGAGTGACATAGGACATTTTAAAGGGGTACTGGAAAACAACAATAAATTGTACGGATGTTGTTTTTATCACCTTATTATGAGTGTGGAAAAAAAATACTTTTGTAAGTACGTTATTTTCTTCCTGACAACTTCAGGTCAGTTTTGTTATTTTCCTAAAACCCTTATCTTGCAGTGTTATAAAACATGTTATACTATACTAAAACATCTGTTTAGTATTACAATACTTCTTTAAATCTTTAAGGTTACATTTCCACACCTTTTTAAACCAAATTTCTATTAAAGGTGGGGTAGGTAATTTTGGAGAAACCAGCTCGAGTGCGCAAGAATTTGAAAATACACAACCGGAAAAAATCTGCCACTTCCTTACAGAGCCCCTCCTCCAACACACACGAACGCGCACATGACCAATGAGGGCACGAGATAAGTTTGTGCACAGATGGAAGGCTGACAGGCAGGTAGGCCATCCAGTTATTTTAGCCGGGCCGGCTAAAATGATTGGTCGTACTTTTTACAGTACTACGGCTTCCACAGATGACATTTTTTTATGGATTTTTTGTCAAAGCACTTAAGATATTCATTGCTATCGGGATGTTAAGAGCATTCCATGGAATATAACAAAAAGTGTATCTCGAGCCGGTTTCTCAAACTTACCCCCACCTTTTAAAGTAGCCTTGTGATTATATAATATTAAACCTCTGTTTATAATCTCTGATCCATCCAGTTTCAAGATCGAGCTGGGCTGTGGTACGGACGACATCGCGCTGCACTTTAATCCCCGTTTTAATGACGACGTTGATGATTCCGTTATTGTTTGCAACTCAAAGACTGGTGGGTCTTGGGGCGATGAGGTCCGGGACACACACAACCCTCTACACCGGGGAAGAGTGGTCAAGGTGAGGAACACTGAGGTTCATATCAGTATGTAGTGTCTCTACTGGGACATGTCTCCATGCTTTAATGTTCAAAAAGCTCTTTATTTTTCTCATACTGCCTGTGCTGCAGCACCTCTTTTCACCCTCTGTCTGAAACCAGAGCCCAGTCTGCTCTGATTGGTTAGTTGGCCGGCTCTGTTGTGATTAGTCAACCTCTTCGAGATGTCCCGCCCCATAGAAAATCACGTACAATGTGTTGGAGCGCTAGCCAATAGAAGGGCCAGAGTTACATAGTGACATTAATGAGTCCAATGGAGTCGTTTTCTCTTGAAGTGCATTTCCTAAACCAGATTACATCAACCATTTCAGTTTTTTTAGGAACGTTTTTAGATTTTTCTCAGATTCCTTTCTTATAATCTTTTCTATTTCAGCTGGAGTTGACGCTGGATGGAGACATGTTTGAGGTGGCGCTTCCTGACGGACAGCAGCTGCAGTTTCCAAACCGCGAGAACGTGGACGTCATCAACTACGTCCGAATCGCAGGAGACTTCAAACTAACTTCCTTCAAGATCTGCTAAAAGACACATGGTTAAAGATGAGACTGAGACAGTTATGGGGTTTAGATCTTCAATGTGAATTTGAAATGTATCTTTATTCGAAAATGTCCCGTTGTGCTCAAGAAAATAAAATAAAATGTGTAAAGGTCCCATGTCATGCTTTTCCGGTTATTACCCGTCCCCTTGTGTGTTAAGTAGCTTTTCCTGCATGTAAACGGTCTGCAGAGTCACAAACCCTCATAGTACACCCTGTAGCGAGTAAAACTCTAACACAGAAAAGACCTGTCTATGCTGCCCCAGAACGCCTCGTTGGACATTTCTCTTTTTCCATTGTTTACTTCTTGGGTATAGTGACGTATTTCGGGTATAGTGACGTAACGGCTCCGCAGATTGGTCCAAATTGACCAATCCGCGGAGCCGTTACGTTACATCCGCGGAGCCGTTACGTTTTGACCAATCCGTGGACTTCCTCACACTCACACACTCGGCGGGACGTTGCGAGGCTCGCTGCTGCGAGGAGCGGGACACTGTGAGCTGGCTCACTGGTGTGGGGTCGGCGAGACACCGCGGAACTCAGCCTGAGCACACACACAAACTCCCAGCCAGGCTGAGGGTGTGTGTGTGTTCCGGGCTGGGTGTTGCTGTGTCTCGCTGTCTCACAGACGGCCACTGGGAGGGTGGCGGGGCAGGAGCTCCAACAAGCCGTTTAGGACAGAGTGTGAATACACATACTAT